GGGGGCGACGGGAGAAGGGGAGGACGAGACGCGTGGGAACGAAGCAACATAGGGTGAGAGCGCGAGACAGGGGAGACAGGTCGAGCACGGGAGGGACGGCGAGACCAGACGTGAGACGAAGGAGTCGGGTCAGGAGACAGAGGAGGGGACACAAGAGGGGAACGAGGGGGGAAACGGGCCGGAGATGAGTCCGGAGGAGGGAACACAGGGCCGTAGACAGGAGGAGGAGGAGGCACAGGTACGGGGTCTGGGGACGGAAGGCCGAGCAGGCGAAGATCGGACACCGACGGGGACTGCTGCGGCGGCGGTGTGACACAAACACCGGGACCGCAAGCTGCCTTGCGGCTACCTCAAAAACACTCCACGCCAGCACCCCCAGAGCTCAGAACCCCTCGAGCACCGGTACCACCCCCAGGCCCGCCGGGACAAGCCACGGCAGGAGTCCCATGACTAGTACCCACCCCAACTCCAGCACCCCCAGAGGCAACGAACTGCTGCGGCGACGGCTGCGGCGGCGGCGGCGGCTGCAACGATGGCTGCGGCGGCGGTGGTGACGACGGCTGCGACAGCGGTGGCAACGGCGGCTGCGGAGGCGGCGGAGGAGGAGACACCTGAGAAGGGGCAGGCGGTGAGGACTGCGCCGCAGGACCACCAGAGTCAGGAGACTCCTCAACCGGGACAACCGACGTAGGTGGGGTGACGTGGGACACACCAGAGGGGGCAGGATGGGGAGAGGGAGGAGGAGGGGCAGCGACGACCGGGGAAGGGGTGACGAGGAACAGGGGGGGGGGGGTAACCGGGGGACCTCGGTGGGGGAAGCGGTGGAAGAAGGAGACGGACTTGTCAAAGGTGACGTCACGGGAGTGAAAGAACCGGTGAGATGGCGGGTGGTAGAAGTGTCAGCCAGACGCGTCAAGGGGGAAGCCGAGGAAGACACAGGACAGGGTGTGGGCAGTGAGCTTGTCCGTGCCAGAGGCACGAACGTGAGCAAGGCAGCCCCAGACGTGGAACGCAGTCGCGTCACCAGGTGACCCAGACCAGAGGAGGGTCGACGAAACCTGAGGCTGCTAGGGGTGCGGCCATAGCTAGTGAGCGGCGTAGCGAACGGCGAACGACCACAGATAATGGGGTGCCCCGGCATGGATCATGGAGGTGCGAGCCACCTCCATGACCAAACCGATGCGTCGCTCAGCAACCCCATTCTGCTGCGGGGAGTCCGGCAAGGTGAACGTCTAGGTGATGCCCTCCGCAAGACAGAAACGACCAAGGAAACCATAGGCAAACTCGCCACCACGGTCGGAGTGGAGACGCAAGACAGGGAGACCGTGGTGGACACGTGCGGAGACAAGCCACGTGATAAGAACGGCAGGCACGTCGGCCTTCCGCTCCAGGGGGAACACAGTGGTGTAGCGCGTATAGTCGTCGACAAGCACTAGGAAGTAGCGCTCTCGACACGGCCCATGGACGGGGGCGGGGCCCCAGACGTCCATGTGCAGAGTCTGTAGCGGTGCTGCAGTAGGGGGAAACGAGGAGGAGTGAGGGGCACGGCGGAGCTGGCCCTCGACACAGGGCGTGCAAGGTGGGGCTGGGGAGGAGGGAAACTCTCAGAACGACCCGGGGAGGCCTAGGACGAGACCGTGCTGTGACATGTGATGCAGACGCGGGAGCGCAGGGTGACCTAGGCGGTGGTGCCAAAGAAGAGTCGGGTGAGTGAGAGACCGACAGGAGCAGGCAGCAGCAACCGGGGGAGACGCAGTCACCTGAGGGGGGGTCCCAGCCGGGGGGGTCACCGTGTCGAGTGTGAAAAGACCGGACGCCGGGTCTCGTGGGAACGTGGACAGGAGGGCACCAGTGGCGGCCTCGGTACAGACAGCGTACCGCTCGTGTCCAGGGAACGTAGTGGTGACGCCAAGGTCCTGAAGGCAGCCGACACCAACTAGATTCCAGGAGAACGAGGGGATGTGCAGTCCTATGAGCGAGCCCGAAGGAACCGCCGGGCACGGGAGGGTGGTGGAGCTGCGGGCGACTACTGGGCCGGAGGAGGGGTCAGCAAGAGTGACTGCGGCAGGGACAGGAAGCGGTGTCAACATGGTGGAGTCACGGAAGAAGCATCGGGAAGCGCCAGAGTCGAGGGTAAAGGAGAGCGCGGCAGTGGCGGCCGGGAGCGAAGCAGCGACGGAAGCACGGCTAAACAAAGCAGGGGATCCTACGCCTGACGCAGCAGGGGAGTCTAAGGAAGGCACACCTACACTAAGCAACAAGGGGTAATAAGACGGAAGCACACTAGAGTCATCAGCATACATCACATGCAGAACTGTAGCAATCTCATCCATATCTAGATAAAAAATCTGAACCCTACGACAAAGCAAACAATGCCAGTCTGGGAGCTCGGGCGACAGGCCGAAACGCTGACGAAATAGGTCGTCCAGGCGACGGAAACAGCGGACGGAGGTGTGACCGATCTTACCGCAAACGAAGCCACGGCGAGGACCGGTCTGGAGCAGGTACTGACAGCGCGCGTCACCCAAACCACCACCCGGCAGCCCACCACGCGCACCGCCACCACGTCCAGCGCTACCACCAGCGCCAGGCCATCCGAGCGGGAGACCACTCGCCCGTCTCCGCTGCGGCTGCTCGGCTGCACCTGGCAGGATCCCCTTGTCCGCACCACCACCAGGAGACCCAGCTCCAGCACCACCTACACTTGCACCCCCACCCCCGCCCCCACGCCCAGCCTTGGGGCGGCGACCCTTCCCCGGACGGACCTGTGCTGCAGCGGCAGTCTCAGCCACAGCAGCAAAACCGTCAGAGAAGGTGCACTGAGCGGGGGCGCAACCCTGAAAGATAGGGACCGGCACAGTACCGCTGGTCTGAGCGATAGAGCGGTGGCGGGCCTCTATAGCGGACAGGGTGTCAACAAAGTCAGTGAGGGTGAGGTGTGCGGGGTGGACGCTAAGGAAGTGGTCACGGGCAGTGGCAAGACGGTCAGGAAGGCGGGTGGCTAGTAGGTAGAGAGTAGAGGTGAGGGGCGGCTAGTGGGCTAGAAGTTGTGTGGGAGTGCAGGCAGCACGCCAGGTCTCATCTATAGTGCGCAGGTGAGCGGCCAGGTCGGTGACAGTGGGGAACGACGCAAGGTCAGGGAAGAGCATGGCGAGGATTAGACGACCGACCGAGGCAGCAGGCGGGGTGGAATAGCGCTGGACAACAGCATCTAGGAAAGCTTGGGCAGTGGTGATAGACCTGAAGCGAGGCCGCTCGGACAGGGGGAGAGCATTGCTAATAGCCAGCTGTGCGACAGTGTCACGGGACAGCCAGACAGAGCAAGCAAGGGCAGCGGCCGTAGTGGACTCACGCTCAGCGGACGAAGGACCAGGAGACAGTGCAGCGGGGGGGTCAGGGCAGGGGAGAGTACCGTCAAGATGGACAGACAGAGAGTGGCCATCCTGCCGCTGACCAGTGAGGTGGCGACGGAGGTCAGCAAGCCACGCATCAAACTCAATCGACTGGCCCTCAGCGTCAAAGCGAAGCACCTCCGCCATCAGTGACAATAGAGGGCAGTGGAGAGCAGTACAGTGCGGTGCAGTGCGGTACAGTGCGGTGCGGTGCAGTGCGACATAGTGCGGTATAGTGCGGTGCAGTGCGGTACAGTGCGGTACAGTGCGGTGCAAGGCGGTTTAGTACGGTACCGGGGGGTTTGCAGGGCGGTGCGGATCGGGAAGAACGGGCCGACCCTGAGGCGGCGGTGGGCTGGCGACGACGCGAATGCCGGGGCGGGCCGACGGGCGACGGACGCGAGGGGCCAGCGAACGGCGGCAGCGGGGGGGGGAGGGGGGGCGGCTAGGAGCTGGCGCGACGGCGAGTAGAGCCGGCCGCGACAGCGGCCAGGGACAGCCGCGACAGCGGCTAGGGGCGGCCGCGACGGCGGGAGCGACCTTGGGGCGGCTGGAGACGGCAGCGACGGCGGCTAGGGGCGGCCGCGGCGGCGAGGGGCAGCCGTGAGCCGGCTGGAAACAGCCGCGACGGCAGCTAGGGGCGACCGCGACGGCAGCTAGAGGCGGCCGCGAAGGCAGCTAGGGGCGGCCGCGACGGCAGGAGCGACCGTGGGGCGGCTGGAGACAGCAGCGACGGCGGCTAGGGGCGGGCGCGACGGCCAGGGGGCCGGCTAGGGACGGGCGCGACGGCCAGGGGGGCCGGCTAGGGTCGGTCGCGAACGGTCAGGGGGCCGGCTAGGGGCGGGCGCGACGGCCAGGGGGCCGGCTAGGGACGGGCGCGAACGGCCAGGGGGGGCCAGCTAGGGACGGGTGTGACGGCCAGGGGGCTTGCTAGGGACGGGCGTGACGGCCAGGGGGCCGGCTAGGATGGCCCCATGTCGGAGGTCGCGTTCACTGTGGCCCAAAAAATTGCCATCTGCAATTACGCCGCCAAGAATGACAAGCTTCGACTATCAGACCTTGTGCAATGGTGCCGTACCAGATACGGCCTATGGCCGGACCCCAGCACTGTCTCCCAAATTATAAAAAAACGTTGCGCACTGGAAAGCTCTCGGCCCAGAGAGCACCTAGCACAAAAGGCTCAGAAATGCTTTCTGGCCACAGCTCGAAGAACGTCTGTGTAATTGGCTGCGTGGCGTAAACAGCGCCGGATTATCTGTAATGCTAGCCCTCACCCAACAGCGTGCGCTCGTCCTCTCGCCAGACTGCAATGTCCACAAGGACTTCAAGGCGAGTGTCGGATGGATGCAGAAGGCTCTTAAGCACATAGCTTTTAAGTGGTGTAAGATGGTGGGGGAAGCGAAATCCACAGACGCGCGAGCGGCTCTGTTCGCCAAACTGCACTTCCCCAGTTATAGGGTACTAAAAAGCCCCTAACATTCCAAGTTGTCAACACATACTGGTACAATGAGAGAACCTTTTTCGCGTGAGGGTGATGCTTGTGGCGGGTATAAATTCGCCGGTACACAATGGAATTTGCGCCCGAGATTCACGCATCCCATGCTCGAATTTCCTTTCTGCTCCTGCATCCTGAGTAACTAGGCTCTTCCTTCCTGCATCCCGAATAACTAGGCTCTTCCTTCCTGCATCCCACGCTCGGATTCTCTAATCTCATTTGGCCGGTCTGTTCCTTCTAGAGCATCTTCTTCTGCTAATTGCGCTTCGCGTCGCGCACCAGCGGTGGCGGCGATTAACTCACCGTCATGGAACCTGTCCACGTAGACGTAGTACCTGCTACGCGCACCAGCAGCGGCGGCGTGGCGGGCGGCGGAGATCTTGAGGCGGAGCTGGCGGCGATCGGCGCGCAGCTGGAGGCGGTGGCGGCGGTGCGCGACGACCTGCGCGCGGCGGTGCAGCGGATGGACGCGCTGACGCGGCAGCTGCAGTCGGACTTGCTGGGCGTGCACCGCCGGCAGGAGGGCGCAGGTCAGTAGGCGCAAAGGCGCAGGTCAGTCGGGGAAGGAGGGCTGCTGGTGGGTGATTAGGAGGAGGGAGGGGGTGCGTTTGAGGCGTTTCAGGAGGACGCGGCGGTGCAGCGGAGGGACTCACTCACGCGGCAGCTGCGGTCCGACCTGCTGGGCGTGCACCGGAGGCCGGAGGGCGCAGGTCAGTCGGGGGGAAAGGGGAACGGGAGAGTAGGTAGGGGGTAGTAGAGATACCGTAGTGAGACGATCTGCGCGCGGCGGTGCAGCGGATGGACGGGCTCTCGCGGCAACTGCGATCACACCCGCCCCCCTCCCCACCCTTACACCTCCCCCTCCCCACCCCCCTCCCTCGTCGCCCAAACCACCTTCTCCCCCCCCCCCTCTCCCTCCCAAGCGGTGCAGCAGGCGGTGCAGAAGGTGTGTTAGAGTCTGCCAAGCCGGCGCTGCCAAATCACCCCTACCCGTCCCCTCCCCCCTCCTCCCTCCCCCTTCCTTCTTCCCCCCTCTTCCCCTCTCTCTCCCAAGCAGTGCAGCAGTCTTTCGAGTGTGTCTTGAGTCAACTCAAAACACCCCCCCATCCAACCCCCATACCATCCCCTCCCCCCCCCCCCCCACCCCTCTTCTCTCTCCCAAGCAGTGCAGCAGGCAGTGCAGAAGCCGTGGGAGAGTCTGCCAAAGGTGTTTTGAGTCGACCCAAAACACACACCCATCCAACCCCATACCATCCCCCTCCCCCTTCCCACTTCCCCCCCTCCCCCCTCTTCTCTCTCCCAAGTAGTGCAGCAGGCGGTGCAGAAGGCGAAGGAGAGTCTCCCAGCGCTGCAAGCCGCGTACGCTGAGCTGGCAGCAATCATTGCTCGCCGTCCAGGCGAGTTCTACAGGCAAGTGGTGCACCCATGCACCCATGCACCCATGCAATGCACCCGTGCACCATGCACCCTTGCACCCTTGCATTCTCACATTCACACATTCACACATTCACACATTCTCACATTCTCAAGGACCGTCAAGTACCGGTGCATGGAATCTTACATTCTCTGTCTTTCGCTCTCTTTACACCACATGCTTATTCGCTCTCATCAACAGGTTCTCCGACCACTGGCGCAGCCAGAACCACACGGTGGTCTCACAGCTGGCGTTCGCCCATTGGCTGGACACAGGCTTGCTTCTTACACACAGGCAGCTCGATGAACAGCTACAGTGTAAGATGGAACTACCTACAGCTACAGCTGTAGCTGCTATACCTCAGATTCTGCCTCCGCCTCAGCATTCAGCATCGACCTGGAGGGCTACCTTTCTGTGCTCTCCAGTGTGGTGTGCTTTGCAGCCGTCTTGCCGCATCCCCCGTGTCTCCCAGTGTCCACCTCAGCATTCAGCATTGACCTAGAGGGCTACCTTTCCACTCTCTCCAAATTGGTGTGCTTCCTACCTCATCAACACGTGAGTTGAACTGGTTCTTGAGAATTCTCAAAAACGAATTTAGCACTCAGCATTGACTTCCAGGATCTCCAGAGTGGTGTGCTTCCTACCCCATCAACATATGCCCCCTTGCTCTCCTTCTATCCCCTTCTATCCCCTTCTATCCCCTTCTATCCCCTTCTATCCCCATGTATTCACCATGTTTCCAGTGTCCGCCTCAGCATTCAGCATTGACCTAGAGGATTACCTCACCGGCCTCTGTGGTCTCTCCAATGAATTCGTGAGATCCCCGCTCCCTCCCTCCCCTTCTTCCCCGCTCCCTCCCTCCCCTTCTCCCCCGCTCCCTCCCTCCCCTTCTTCCCCGCGCCCTCTCTCCCCTCCCCCGCTCCCTCCTGACCGGCTCCCTCCTGACCCGCTCCCCACCTGTTTCTTGTGTGCGCTCTTGGGCACAAAACCCCGTTTCCCTCTCCTCTTCCCATCCTAGTCTCATCTTCTGATGATCCGGGTGACAGCAGGCGACTATGCCTGTCTTTGAGTCGCTGCATCTTTCCGCAACCATGCGCGAGGAGCCTATTTTTGAGGCGCCTGAAAAAAAAAAAAAAAAAAAAAAAAAAAACACCTTTTTCGCATTCCACGTGTGCCTGATTTGCCTTTGGTCCTCACCCTAGCCTCCTCACCCCCTCCCCTCCAAGCCTTTTGTCTTGCCTTTGCTCCTCACCCCCTCCCCTCCTAGCCTCCCCCTCCCCTCCCATCCTAGCCTCGTTCAATGATGAGCCGGGTGACAGCAGGCGACTACGCGTTTCCTCAAGACGTTGATCCTTCTCTTTGTAGGGGGTCCTCCTCTTTGCTGATTCACGTCGCATCCCCCCCCTACTCGTGCGGCTCCCTTGCCTTATCTCCTCACTTATCTCTCCCACCCCAGCCTCGCTCCCTGATGATCCGGGTGACTTTTGAGTCGACTCAAAAGTCACCTCGTGCGGCTCCCTTGCCTTATCTCCTCACTTACCTATCTCTCCCACCCCTTTTCATCCATCCTCGCTTCCTGATGATCCGGGTGACAGCAGGCGACTACGCCTGTCCGATCACGGTGGCGTCTTTCCTCAACGACCTCTTTGTTCTCTTACACGTGTGGCCCCCTTGCCTTATCTCCTCGCCTCTCTCCCCTCACAGCCACCCTTTGTAATGAGCGGAGTGACAGCAGGCCACTATGCATATCCGCGCGCCGTGGATTCCTTCCTGAACGACCTCTGAGGCGCCTCAAAGATTCCTTCCTGAACGACCTCTTTGCTGCCGTCGACGTGTGCCCTTTCTACCTTTTCTCCTCACCCCTCCCCCATCCAGCCTCGCTTCGTGATGAACCGGGCGACAGCAGGCGACTACGCCTGTCCACGCATGTCCACAACTGACTTCTTTCCTCAACCACCTTTTTGCTGCCCTCGACGTGGGCACTTTCTACCTTTTCTCCTCACCTCTCTCCCCCTTTTCTCCTCACCTCTCTCCCCCTTTTCTCCTCACCTCTCTCCCCCATCCAGCCTCGCTTTGTGATGAACCGCGTGACAGCAGGGGACTACGCGTGTCCGCGTGTGGTGGCGTCGTTTCTCAGCGACCTCTTTGCAGCTTTCCGCAAGCTCAACCTGCGCAACGACATGCTGAGGAAGCGCTTCGACGGTGCGTGGGGCTTCGGTGTGCTCTGCGTTAGATGACCTGCCTTCAGTGTGCTGTGCTCTGCGTGTTCTGCCATCCGCAAGCTCAACCTGCGCAACGACATGTTCCGGAAGAGGTTGGAGAGTGCATGGCGCTTTTGTGTGCTGTTCTTGCGGCGCTTGGTCACTCTGCTCACTGTGCGGAGTCTATTTTTGAGGCGCCTCAAAAATAGACGTGCTCTGCTGGCTCCTCCCATCCGCAAGCTCAGGAAGAGGTTTAACAGTGTGTGGAAAGGTTGCTAGCCAAGATAGAAGTGAGCAGCAGTGTAATCGAAACGATGCCTAGTTTTGAGGCGCCTCAAAACGGTGCGTGGACAGGTTGCTGTGCCGTGCTTGGTAGCTTCTGATTGGTATGCCACATACCTCGTGTGCATGCTCTTCGCTGCCTTCCACAAGCTCAGCTTGCGCAACCTCCGGAAGAGGCTTCACGGTGTGTGCATAGTTGCGCTGTCATGATGTGCTGTGCTTACAATGCTCGGTGTGCTGTGCTTACAATGCTCGGTGTGCTGTGCTTACAATGCTCGGTGTGCTGTGCTTACAATGCTCGGTATGCTGTGCTTACAATGCTCGGTGTGCTGTGCTTACAATGCTCGGTATGCTGTGCTTACAATGCTCGGTGTGCTGTGCTTACAATGCTCGGTGTGCTGTGCTTACAATGCTCGGTGTGCTGTGCTTACAATGCTCGGTGTGCTGTGCTTACAATGCTCGGTGTGCTGTGCTTACAATGCTCGGTATGCCTGCTTACAATGCTCGGTGTGCTGTGCTTACAATGCTCAGTATGCTTGCTTACAATGCTCGGAATGCTTGCTTACAATGCTCGGTATGCGTGCTTACAATGCTCGGTATGCGTGCTTACAATGCTGAACGGTCCTTGACTATATCAGGGGCATACATTTAAGGCAAGGCAACACACCATCCAACACAGGTAAGTCTAGGAGGCCGGAAATCCCCTCTAGGGGAGCTCCCCCTCGGGTTCCAGGGTATGCATTAAGGTGCCGAGGTCCGTGGGCTCCGATGAGCCCCTGTCTGGCCACGCCTCGGGGGCAAGAGCCAAGTTGCTCTTGGTGTTGAGGGCAACGGCTTGCCCGCGCTGCAGGGTGATGGCCCACCGCTGCCGGTAGGTATGGAACATCTTTGCTGTCTCTCGGGATGAGGGAGCGGCATTGTGGTGGCGCTTGGCGGAGAGCTCCGCACATAGGCGGAGGAAGGCCAGGACTCCGGGTGCGTTGCAGCCGTAGGACTCGACGGCCAAGGGGAAGAAGCCGACCCACTCCGGTCTCGCCGGAGGGGCGTACTTCGCCTCCTTCTCCCGGGCTTTGAGGGCAGCGGCATACCCGGTCCCCTGCCAAGCTTGCTTGTTGATGGCTTGGACGGGATCGGTGACCACGACGTCGCACAACCACACCGCCCCCGTGGAGGGGTGGCGGATGGCGACGTCGGTCTTGAGGCCCGAGACTTGAGTGAAGACATGGTCTCAGTCCGGGTGATGAACCCGGCCTCCTTGGTGATGCTGGCCGCTTCGTCACGGAGGCCGTGGTGGGTAGCGATGCGGCCCGGGCCGTTCTCACAGCGGAGGAGGTGGTTGGGCAGCCGAGGGTCGTCAATGGTGACTTGCTTGGGGCAGTCGCACACCCCGGGGACCTGTTAGAATTTCCGGCAGCGCTCTCGCTGCTCTCAGGCCGTTCTTACACTCCAAACAAACACCCTACAGCACTCTCGCAAGTACTAAGGGTAGAATTAACACCACCAGTCAAGTTCTGGTTGCAAACAGGCAGCACGACGTGAGGGAGAAATATCAGATTTTTATTACTCTCTACAAAGAGATACAAAGAAACAGATTCTTATGAAAAAAATTCCTAAGCCACATGACATTGCGTAGCGCACATCCGAACCGCATTTCACACAATGTAACCGAACCGCGTTTCTGCTCCTCCGAACACCGCGACATTGTACCAATTTCTGCTCGTCGCTCACAAGTCCTCCGCGTTTCCCAAACACCTCCTCCTTCCAACACGTAACCCTGCAGCCCCTCACCACCTAGCACACCCATATGTAGTCTTCAGCTTACGCCACCTGTTAGCGCTGCCACACTGCCACCTAGCTTACGCCATCTGTGCGTAGATGCTCGAATGTAGTGCCTGAGGGCCCCGCTCCAACTCCATTAGGGAGCTGGGAGATGGAGCGGCGGAAATCCTTGAGGGAGATGGAAGGGATTTCCTTGGGCTCGTAGGAGGAGAGCCACGCAGGCAAGGGAGTTTCAGCAGCTGGGTGCCTTGAGTGTAAAGCTTGGAGTGTTTCGGCATTTGTTGGGCGGACGGGGGTAGCCTCCAGCGCCTGGACTGCCTTGCGTAAGTTCCCGCGTTTAGCGAGGTGCTCGGCTCTGGCGACTGCTCCAGTGCTGTCAGGTGCGTGCTGGGGCAGAGGGGGTAGCGAGGTGGCAGCGAGGTGGCAGCGAGGTGGCAGCGAGGTGGCAGCGAGGTGGCAGCGAGGTGGCAGCAACCGCCTCAGTCTACAGCACCCCCCAGTTCCCCTGTTGGAAAAGTTCCAGGTGCCTCGAGATGGCTTTCCAGTTGGGCCGCCTGGTGGAGCTGACACGCAGGATCAGGCGGGGGAGAAAAAACAGCAGGCGCCACGCTGGCACCGAATCCTGCTGCCTGGCCAATCGAGTTAGGGGGGTCAGTAGGCAGTTGGCGAAGCCCTCGCGAATTGGGCGCGGGGCGTGGCAAGTGGCGGCGGTATGCTTGGTATGCTTGCTTGGTATGCTCGGTATGCTCGGTATGCTTGCTTGGTATGCTCGGTATGCTCGGTATGCTTGCTTGGTATGCTCGGTATGTTCGTATGTTATGGTGTTCGTATGTTACTGTGGGTGTATCGAAACAGCTTGTGGTCATCAAGAGCCACGTGCCTCCCTCTCTTCTGGTGTGTGTATACCTTCGTCTTCTGCAGGCATCAAGTGCGATCTGAAGAAGGCGGGGGAGGTGGTGTATGACGTGGAGATGAGGTGGCAGCAGTGTATGAAGCGCCGGCCTTTCCGTCTCCGGCCCGTGCATCCCATCCATGACCCACCCCATCCATGACCCACCCCATCCATGACCCACCCCATCCATGACCCATCCCCCTGGTGTAGCCCCCCCCTGCAGGCATCAAGTACGATCTGAAGAAGGTGGAGGAGGTGGTGTGCGACGTGGAGATGAGTTGGCTCTCATTGTGGCTCTCTTATCCCCCTTCCTTGCCTGCACTCCCATGCCCTCATGTCACCCCCGCAGGCGTCAAGTACGATCTGGAGAAGGTAAAGGAGGTGGTGGCGTTTCGAGTGGGGGGGGCGTATCCGAACAGCATGTGTTCAACAAGTGGCATGTGCTAATCCGAACACCCTGTCTTCTGGTGTGCTTATGCGTGCAGGCATCAAGTACGATCTAAAGAAGGTCGAAGAGGTGGTGTATGACGTGGAGATAAGGGGTCTCGCGAAGCCAGCAGCAGGGCCGATGGAGGAAGCTTAGCCGCCATAGACTGCATGCGTAGGGGGAGGAGGTGGTGTATGGCGTGGAGATTAGGGGTCTCGCCAAGCCAGCAGCAGAGCCCATGCAAGACACCTAGTGGCCACTTGGCAGACACTGAATGCGGCCTTGCACGGAGTGCCGATGCGAGGTGGAGAAGGTGGTGCATGGCACTGAAATACGGGGCCTTGCCAAGTCAGCAGCAGGGGCGTTGATGGGAGAAGCTACGCCCTGGGATGGGCGTCTAAACATTCCCATGGGCGCGTGTATACTATTGGTTTCTTAGAGCTTTTGCTGGTGATGGTGGACGATGGGGAATCAAGGGGCTTCCTCACAGGGAAGTTCATGTAGGTAACATTCAATAAGTGTACAGCCTTACAAAGAAGATTGATGGTTAGGTATAATGGTACTGTGGTACGGTATATTGCAAAAATCAACCTTTGAATTGCCACTAGTCACAGCAAGCCACTCACTGCAGCTTCCTACCACCCCTCCCACATAACCTGTTATCTGACCTACACGGGTTCCAACCAAGACAACCCAATCCAGTGCAAGCACCCTTCACGAAATAACAAAGACGCATCAAGCACAGAAAGCCCACCTCGAGCACAACCAGCACCTTTGCAGCCGCAGGCCACTCACAGCAGCTTCCTACCACCCCTCCTGCATACCCTGCAAGCTGACCTGTACAGCCTACACGCAAGACAGCCCAACCAAGTGCCTGCACCCCCCATGGCAGAACAAACGCGCAGCGCGCACAGCAAAACCACCTGGAGCAAAAGATCCACTCCATACAGCAGAAGAAACAGCACGTTGCTATGCAGTAACAGCCACAGTCGGCCCGTGCGCACACCCGGGATACAGTCAACCAGCCATGGTCACCCTCCCCGCCCACATCTTCCATCATCAGGTGCTTCAGGTGGGGTAGCCGCCTGCCTGATAAATCCAGGAGATTTTCCAGGTTGCCCAGGGAGTGCAGGGTCAGGGTGTGGAGGGCAGGGAGGGAGAAGTTTTCGGGGAGCGAGGTGATGAGCGGGCAGTTGGAAATTTTTAGTTCGGTGAGGGACACTAGCCCAGGCTGGTAATCTGTGGTGGTAGTAGCAGAGTCAGCGAGAGGGATGGATACAAAAGCAGGGGCAGGGGCAGGTGCAGGGGCAGGTGCAGGGGCAGGTGCAGGGGCAGGTGCAGGGGCAGGTGCAGGGGCAGGTGCAGGTGCAGGGGCAGAGAGCGGCGCAGAGGTTGAAGCAAAGGCAGGGACGGAGGCACTAGCCGGGGCAGGGGCAGTGTCAGTGTCAGTTGTGGTGTCTGTGTCTGTGTTGGTGGTGGTGTCAGTGGTGGTGTCGGTGGTGGTGTCAGTGGTGGTGTCAGTGGTGGTGTCAGTGGTGGTGTCGGTGGCGGTGTCAGTGGTGGTGCTGTCTTCACTGCTACTTCGCAGCAGCAGAGCGACCAGCAGAGCAGCAGCGAGCAGCAAGGCATGGTACAGCCACGCTCTCGGAACCACAGCCATCAGCAGCGCCACAACAATAACCAGGAACACCACAAGCATTGCCACAACACTAGTGCCTCCAGCTCTAGCCAGCCCTGCAGCCGGTACTAGCAGCTGAGTCGGGCTCATGTCTAGTCCCCCGCTTAGGAGATCGTTTTCTGTGAGTCGTTGTATGGCGAGCAGCGGTACGGAAATTAAAGCCATCGCAGTGAAGGTCACTGCCGTGAATAGTACCGCAATCATTACCTTTTCGGTGTGACTGATAGGTTCAGGCTCGGTTCCCGAACCTTCCCCGGAGCTTGGAGGGGCCAGTGGCTGCAAAGACTCTATAAGGGAGCATGACTCGACATGGAGTGTCTCTAAGCGAGTCAGCCTGTTCAGCGAGGAGGGAAGCTCCTTCAACTGCTTACAGTCTGTCAGTTTCAGCTCCTCCAGGCAATTGCACAAGCTCCCTTCAAACAAATTTTCGGGCAGATGCTGCAGCGCGGGCAGGTCCAGCTCCAGCGTTTTCAACCGGGGTAAATAACCCAGGCTTTCGGGCAGAGACCGGATTTCAGTAAGGTTGAAGAGCTTGAGGGTTTGCAGATTGGATAAGGCACCGATGTGTTGTGGGAGTGAGTCCAGGGATGCACAAGAGGAGATGGAGAGGGAGGAGAGGGGGAGGAGGCAGAGGGTATCAGGGAGGGCTTTAAGGGAGTTGCAGCCCTGGAGGGTGAGAGTCTGCAGCTGAGTCAGCGCCGCCAGGGCGCTTTCGGGCAGGCGCTGCAAGCTTTCGCATTGGAGGGAGACGTTTTTCAGCCCGGTCAGCCATTGAAAGGAGTCCGGAATGCGCTCCAGCCCGTCCAAAACAACTTCTAGGGTTTCCAGCCGGGTTAAGTCGCCTATGGCGTCAGGAAGCGTCTTAACAGTAGCCGAGTCGAGATTACTGACAGTCAACCGTCGGAGGTTACTCCAGCTGCCGACACATTCCGTCAGCCCCCTGAAATTCGGCCCCGCGCTGATCCGCAATTCCCGCAGCTGCTGAAGTGCGCCGATGACGCTTTCCGGCGGCGAAACGAGCTCTTGTAACGAGTCTTCTCCATAGTGCGTATGCGAGCACAAGTGAAGGGTTTGGAGATCGGCATCGCAAAAAGTGCAACGTTCACAGATCGTTTTCACCATTCGAGCTCGGGCATAAAGTCGGAAATCGTCCGCCAAGTGTTCGCCAAATGTTTTTTTCTCGTTTCTTTGCACGTAAATGATTCGCGAGTCTTCTGCGGATGGGATGTTATGCGAATGAGTTGTTTTGTGAATGTTACACCTGAATAATAAACATGTTCCCGTGGCTTATATTTGCATAAATGATTGGTTTTTGTACACTTAAACTTCTACAAAGTTTTAAAATTGTGCATAAGTAACTGAAATATAATAATATATAAAATATGTGCAATTTGCCAAAAAAACTAACTGAATCCAACCCCAACCAACTCAACCCATATCTCACACGCTATTCGAGGTTCGGCGAGACCTGTAACCAGGCTGGGTTACGCAGCTCCAATGGGTTGCGAAACCCAGATACCACGTCCTAACCCTATGCACTGTGAGGAAATTGAACAACCCCCTCGGGCATGAAAAGGGGCCATGCGATTGGTCGAAGCCAAACAACAACAATCGCAAACCCAACCCACAGCCTGCTCTCTCGACAGCAAAAACGACTAAGGGAAAGATGGTAGCAGATCTCGAATTCGGGATCTGTAATTTTCTCGACTTGCCCTCGTTTCCTCCTAGATCCATGCTCATGCGTAGCCATGCTAGAGAGTTGGTAGCGACTTATAAGATGGGATCGAGGCGACACCGACGTCAGGCTAGTGAACGCGGATATCAATTGAGGTTCTTGGCGCGCGTAGCCTAGCCTGGACGAAATCACCAGCGCCTGAAAACAAGGGCAGGAAACAAATGACGAATCCCCCGCTGCTAACGGCCCACCGTTGCGGGCCGCTATAGCTTCCCGCCGCCTTCGATCTCCTCGTACGAAAATGCCGCCCGCGGCTTCCCACATCGTGCTATCCCTGTCCTCGCGCTTCCTTGCTTCCCAAATCCCCACTTCCCGCTTTCGAAAGCACGTCCGCATCTCACCTTCACGTGCTGCAGCATCTCGCTGTCCCTCGCTTCCTTCCACCCGCTTTCACCCGCGTCCCGCTATCGCTTGCTCCCCGAATCCCGCTTTCCCATGCTCCTCGCATTACCTTGCTCCCCGCATTCCAATGCTCCTCGCATTCCCATGCTTCCCTCATTCCCATTTTCCCGGCATTCCCATGTTCCCCGCATTCCCATGTTCCCCGCATTCCCTTGCTCCCCGCATCTCGCTTTCCCATGCTCCCTGCATTCCCTTGCTCCCCGCATCCCGCTTTCCCATGCTCCCCGCATTCCCATGTTCCCTGCATTCCCTTGCTCCCCGCATCCTGCTTTCCCATCCTCCCCGCATTCCCATGTTCCCCGCATTCCCTTGCTTGCTCCCCGCATCCCGCTTTCCCATGCTCGCTGCATTCCCTTGCTCCCCGCATTTCCTTGCTCCCCACATCCCGCATTCCCATGCTCCCCGCATTTCCTTGCTCCTCGCATCCCGCATTCCCATGTTCCCCGCATTCCCTTGCTCCCCGCACCCCGCTTTCCCATGCTCCCCGCATTCCCATGTTCCCCGCATTCCTTGCTCCCCGCACCCCGCTTTCCCATCCTCCCCGCATTCCCATGTTCCCCGCATTCCCTTGCTCCCCGCATCCCGCTTTCCCATGCTCTCTGCATTCCCTTGCTCCCTGCATTTCCTTGCTCCCCACATCCCGCATTCCCATGCTTCCCTCATTTCCTTGCTCCCCGCATCCCGCATTCCCATGCTCCCCGCATTCCCGTGTTCCCCGCATTCCCTTGCTCCCCGCACCCCGCTTTCCCATCCTCCCCGAATTCCCATGTTCCCCGCATTCCCTTGCTCCCCGCATCCCGCTTTCCCATGCTCTCCGCATTCCCATGCTCCCCGCATTCCCGTATTCCCCGCATTCCCTTGCTCCCCGCACCCCGCTTTCCCATCCTCCCCGCATTCCCGTGTTCCCCGCATTCCCTTGCTTGCTCCCCGCATCCCGCTTTCCCATGCTCTCTGCATTCCCTTGCTCCCCGCATTTCCTTGCTCCCCACATCCCGCATTCCCATGCTCCCCGCATTTCCTTGCTCCTCGCATCCCGCATTCCCATGCTCCCCGCATTCCCGTGTTCCCCGCATTCCCTTGCTCCCCGCATCCCGCTTTCCCATGCTCTCCGCATTCCCTTGCTCCCCGCACCCCGCTTTCCCATCCTCCCCACATTCCCATGTTCCCCGCATTCCCTTGCTTGCTCCCCGCATCCCGCTTTCCCATGCTCTCTGCATTCCCTTGCTCCCCGCATTTCCTTGCTCCCCACATCCCGCATTCCCATGCTTCCCTCATTTCCTTGCTCCTCGCATCCCGCATTCCCATGCTCCCCGCATTCCCGTGTTACCCGCATTCCCTTGCTCCCCGCACCCCGCTTTCCCATGCTCCCCGCATTCCCATGTTCCCCGCATTCCTTGCTCCCCGCACCCTGCTTTCCCATCCTCCCCGCATACCCATGTTCCCCACATTCCCTTGCTCCCCGCATCCCGCTTTCCCATGCTCTCCGCATTCCCTTGCTCCCCGCTTTCCCATGCTCTCCGCATCCCCTTGCTCTCCGCATCCCCTTGCTCCCCGCATTTCTTTGCTCCCCACATCCCCCATTCCCATGTTCCCCGCATTCCCTTGCTCCCCGCACCACGCTTTCCCATCCTCCCCGCATTCCCTTGCTCCCTGCACCCCGCTTGCCCATGCTCCCCGCATTCCCATGCTCCCCGCATTCTCATGCTCCCCGCATTCCTTGCTCCCCGCATCCCGCTTTCCCTTGTTCCCCGCATTCCCATGCTCACCGCTGTCCCATGCCCCCGCTTTCCCATGCTCCCCTCATTCCATGCTCCCCGCATTCCCATGCTCCCCGTGCTCCCCGCATTCACATGCTTCGCGCATTCCCATGCTTCCCACATTCCCTTGCGACCCGCACCCCGCTTGCCCTCGCTAATCCGCTGCTGCCTCTCTCCCCTGTTTCCCGCCACCCGCTTCCCCTAGCTTCCGGCATGCCGCTTTCCCCCGCTTCCTGTTTCTGCCATTCCCCCCTTTTCACATCCCGCTTTCCCCCGGTAGCGACTAGCGCTTCCCGCTTCACCTCGCGGACCGCTTCCCGCTTTCCCTTGCGGGTCGCTTCCCACTTTCCCACGTTGTAACGTGTTACCCGCTTTTTCGCGCGCCGCAATCCCCTGCCTTCTCATTGAATGAAAACAGATAAAGGTTCAAGGCGCAGCAGCAGGGAAGAAAGCGAGGCCGCAGGGATGGGGAAGACAACAGATAGTAGCGAGCGGGAGAGGCGAGAGGGGAGGGAGAGGGGCACGAGAGCAGTGGAGGGGGGAAGGCGTGAGAGCAGGGAGGGAGTGAGGCATGAGAGCAAGGAGGGAGTGAGGCACGAGAGCAGGGAGGGAGTGAGGCATGAGAGCAGGGAGAGAGTGAGGCATGAGAGCAGGCGTGAGTGCAGGGGAGGGGAAGAGGCGTAAGAGTAGGGGAGGGGGAGAGATGGGAGAGCATGGAGGTATGAGGTGCGTGATAGGGGGGGATGTGGGAAGGCGCAAGAGCCATGGAGGGAGCGAGAGGTGAGAGAAGGGAAGGGAAAGAGGGGTACGAGTAGGGGAGTGGGGAAAGGGAGAGTGCAGCCCGGAGGAGATGGGGAGGGGAAGAGGCGTGAGGGCGGGGGAGGAAGAGGCGTGAGGGGCATGGGAGGGGGAGAGGGTGTTAGGGTAGGGGAGGGGGAGTGGCGTGAGTGCAGGAGAGTGGGGAAAGATGGATTGCAGTGAGGGTAGGGGGGTAGGAGTGAGAGCAGAGGAGTGGGAGAGGCGTGAGGGCGTGAGAGGCAGGGACAGCTGGAGGAGATGGGGAGGGAAAGAGGCATGAGGAGAGGGGAGGCAGATACGCATGAGGGCAGGGGAGAGGGAGATGCATGAGGGCAGGGGAGGGGGAGAGGCATGAGGACAGAGGAGGGGGAGTGGCATGAAGCAGGGGAGGGGGAGAGGGCAGTAAGTGTGAGCGGGATCCCGGCAGGACAGGCAGTAAACACTCTATAACTAACCCCTCTCAACCCCCCGCCCCCCCACTAACGTATGCCTCCATCTCTTTCTCCCCCCCCCCCCCCCCCCCTCCCCCCCCTCCCCTCCTCCCCGCTCTCTCGCAGCCTACCGGGTGGCACATGATTGCCAGTCAAGCTCACCTTGGACAACCTCTCCGTTAAAAGCCAGACTTCACCCCAAACCTATCCACTCACTCCCCTGTGCATCTCTCAACAAACCACATTCTGTGGGTGATCTCCGTGCGGCCACGCATTCAGACATTCAGCCGTTATTGGCAAATGCTAACCATGTCTCTTCTCTAGCATCATCTACGACGGCTGCAGAAAATGGAAATTATGTAACCCTACATATGTGAACGACACCTTGTAACTGAGTTGGTCCAGGGTTGTAAAGCCAACTTGAATTTTGAGGTCGCAATTTCTCTCCCTCAAGTTTGTTACATTCTTCCTGCCACATATATATGTGACCTTTTCAGGTTATGAACGGCTTGTCGGTCGTTCTGTAAGAGTACATGAACTTGGCACCAATTTTGGCAACAAGAGTAGCTTTTTATCTTTAGCATAAAGTCATATTAGTCTAGATACATTCAGAAAGTCAAGTTCCCATGGAAAGCGATTTAATCTACTAAACAAATCCAAGACACACACTGAGATATATCGAAAACGTCTTAGCATATATAGTAACAAGTGTTGGCTACAACACCTCCATCCAACCACCAAGAAGGGCGTAGTCCAACGGAATCGGTGCAAAACACGGCTTTATGAAATTTGTGAATACCAAACTGAACCGAATTGAATCGCAAATTACAGCGTGCTATAGAGCGCGCGGATTCTGGGATCCAAAATTTCAGGTCCTATTTGCTTGATATTCGGGTCTGTAGAAACACGCCCCTATTCACAAAATGACGTGCTGACCAATCACACACCCTTTGCCCCCACCCTTCACCTGCAACCGAACCCAACAAAATTTATTCATCCAACTCAGCCCCTGCACCTCGTCCAACCAATCAAAATCTGCCAAGTGGTTCCAGAGCGGCTAATCCAGCTCAACCACCTGCTCGCCCCAACCACCCAGCCCACCACGCTGCACCCCACATGCCAGCACTCCAGCCCACCACACACTTCTGATCCCTTCCTTACTTGCCCCCTTGCGCCCTCTCATGCCTTCCAGCTAGACGTTACTTACAATAATAGCCCTCGGCAGTTCTATCTGCATCAGTTTCAGCTCCCATTCTCGCCTTCGCGCCCCCTAGTGAGCAGCTCCTTCCTCTCCCACAGGCTTCGATTACCATGGTCGTTCTTAGTGTGCCCTATGCTGAGGATCTCGTTTCACGATGGTCTATCGTTTCAAGCAGCTTGTAGGTGACTAGTCTTGTTCACCCATGTCATTCTTATCTGCATGTTCATGAGCTAATGCGCCATTGGGGGGGCGGGAGAGTAAGGAGGGGCGAGGGGGAGGAGGCGGCACGCAGAAGCGGTATCTTCGGGAGGCGGGGCGCCTGGCGGAGTACCTAGATGCGCGCATGGAGGCGGCCACCAGGTGCGCGGACGCCAGCAGATGCGAGCACGGTGGTGAAACATCTCTTCCCTTGTTTCGCTTCTCGCCACTGTCCTTTTCCTCTCTCCTGTACTCGTTCCGTCTATGCCCGTCTCGATCCCCCTTTCGTGCCCTCTCTCCCTTTTTCCTCGTCCCAGCTGCTCTTTCTCCCCCTCGCCCCTGGAGCTGTGCTTGCCATGTGTGTGCTTGCCACGTGTGTGCTTGGCGCAGCAGTGGTGCAGCGCGACTCGTGCAGAGAGGCATGGCTAGTAGTGTGTGTGGGAAGGTGGAGGGGGCAGAGCGGAATGGAGAGCATCCGCTCTCGTGCACTCCCCTTCTCACGCGCATGCCCCATCCATCCGTCCATCGTGTGTGCGCTGCAGGTTGGGCGCAGCAGCAGCAGGCCCGAGGAGCAGTGAAGGGGGGCATGCTGGCGCCATGGGTGGTGCGCTGCCAGACGACGTGAGCGCCATGGCGTATGCGCACGACCTGCCACCCAAGGTGCATACATGTGCCTTGCTATATGCATGGCGGTGTGAAGCCATCCCTGGCAGCCCATCCGTGTGCCCTCTGTTCTGCCTGTTGCGTGCCCATGCCACCCCCTTTTGGCTCTTGCACGCCACGCCTCTCCATGCGACCTACCACTCTCCTTGCCTTTACTCACCTCTTTCTTTCACATGGCTGCATGGAATCACATGGCTGCATGGCATGGCATGGGCGCATGGCACATGGGTGCATGGCATCACATGGGTGCATGGCATCACATGGGTGCATGGCATCACATGGGTGCATGGCGTGGGTGCATGGCATCAGGTGCATCTGTGGCAGCACCACGAGTCTCTCTCCTCGCGCCATCTCTCCTCCTCCCTCGCCTCCCTGCACCGTTACTTCGACTACAGGTGAACAGTCATGGCCAGGCGGAGAGGGGGGGATCATACAGGTGCCACGGATGGGTTGCTGGAGTAGAGAGGCCCATGAGAGGGCATTCGCAGGCACGTGCGAGTGTGGGGGGCAGTGGGAAGGGCCTGCTGCATGACAGGGCAAGGAAGTGTGGGGGAGAGTGTGGCGTTCGCACGTTGATACGTGTGATCGTGTGAGTGTGCTGTGCACGCGTGGCCCTCATGGTGAGGCGGCCACGAGGAGTGCAGCCACCACGAGGAGTGCAGCCGCCACAAGGAGTGCAGCCTCCATTCTGTTCTTCCATGTCTTGTGCGATCTTCCCCGACTCTTGCGCACACCGTCACTCCACCCTCCCGCTTCCGCCCCCTGCCACCCCCTCCTCTCTCTAAGCAGTGCGGGCGTGACAGCGGTGGGTAGTCGCCCGGCGTCGGAGTGGTGGGCGGGGCGATTCCAGGCGGGGCTGCTGGTGGAGGGCGCCATGCACGCACGATACGGGCACACACAGCACGCCATGGGGGTATGAAGGCATTTGTTACTTGACGTATCAATCAAACTAATGATTCGCATGTGTCCTCACGATGCTTGTCTTTATCGCAGCTAGCTATGTAACTCTGTCCAACATCGAGATAATTCCCCATGTAAGTCCAATTGTAAGTCTCGCTGGTCATTTGATCGTCGGACTAATTTCACAACAATGTCTCGTATGATGTGCAGAAATTTGTAGCCTACCACGAGCTATTTCCTCCGGTAAGCTGGCTCTTGTAATTGCTATCGTATGGAATATAAATAATTTGATTACAATGTTTGAACCTAATGTGCAGGACTCAATATCCAGCGTCGCGCTACTTCGTTGTTGTAAGCATTGTCCTTATTGTTGGTGATTTCGACCTTGGATTAATTTCGAGATAACAAGTTCTGAACGTAACGTGCAGGAATTCGAATCCAGTTTCAAGAATTGCTGCTCCTGGTGTGCCGCCGCTCAGTTTCTCTTTGTGTTAGTGCGGGACCCACATAGGGGTGCTGGTAGGCAAGGGCGGTTGGGCCATAGTGGTTGTGTACTGTGGTGTAGATGTTTTTTTTAATATATCAAATAATTTGCTTGTTGCATTATAAGTAAATCCAAACGAGGCATGCCCTAATTGTACTGAACCATGCCCAAAAGGGTACTGCAGCCTGCAAAAACGGATCCATGAAAAACACCACCAAACGTTTGCAACAAATCATGCTGAATACTAAAAATGGTGAGCATAAACTTCTCTATGCATTTACATGTTTACTGCAAAAGTTGTAGAAAGAACACCGCCATGCATTTGTAAACGAACCACGGAGATTACCGAAAAGACACCTCTAAGCATTCGCTGTCGTGAACCAAAAAGTGTTTCGGGAAATGTTGCCCAAGCATTCGCCAAGTGTTCTGATCTTAGTCCGCCATGAATTTTCACCCACATGTTCGCAAAACGTTTGCAAAGCATTCGCTCGAATGCTACGCAATCGTTTTGCGAGCACACCTTTTTTGCGATGGGTGAGGAAAGAGAGGGAGGCCGGGAGATGCGGGAGACCGTTGGTGGTCAGAAGGCGGAAATCCCTTAGCTTGCGACAGCCATGGAAGAGGTACGCGAGGCCGTTGACCGTCACGCGCATGCGAAACTGATGCTCCACCGTTAGATGCGTCAGGCGCGGACACGTGGCGGCCAGGCATTGGAAGAGCGCGTCGCCGTCGGGGGATGGGATCAAGAATTCGCCCAGCGACACGTGTGTGAGGGTGGGGAAGCGCCGGAGAGCGGAAAGGAGTCCGGGGAGAGGGAGCCACGCAAGTTGCGCGTTTCGGAAGTGCTCGTGAGAACGTCACAAAAATGTGGATCTCTCCTATATTGTAGGTATAGTTGTTCGTATAGCAAGGCTACTCCGTAGCAGACGTATCCATCCCGTACCTACTGTATACCTACTCCGTATTTCTGATCCTGGTATTTTGGGACGAAGTAATTTCAAGAACGAACTGCTTGAATCCGCGGTGCTGAACGGTCAAATGCGAGAGCGCGGCGGTGGCAAGGCGGTGCCAGCGCTTGGATACGAGCGCGCAGCGGAAGGAGTCTTGCGCGAGCGCGCGGAGGACGAGCGCGAGAGCGTCGTCGGGGAGGCGGTCCACGAGGAACGGCGGAGCGGGGCGCGCGGGAGAGATCATGGCTAGTGGGCGGTGAAGGAGAGGGACGAAAGTCATCGCGTGAGTTTTAAGGACGTCGTTCAACACGGGAAAGGGATAACAAGTAAGGCGCATACGGCTTCACTGCTTTTCTGTTCTGATTAGCCTGGCCTAAAAGCTCAGCTCAGGTGCAAGGGAATGGAGGGAGGAACTCACTCCCCCGTTTTTTGGAACTGTAGAGAAATAGGAAGTAGGTACTGTAACGGGGAATAGAAAATACAGTAGGAGATGGGCAAGTTAGGTGGGAAGTCAACTGAGTGGATGAGTTTCGGCTTCGAGTCAACGGCGTCTCTGCCTTCAACGAGGGTGATTTGTTTTAGCCGGATATGGAGTGTTCCAGGTTCTGGAATAGATTTCCCTCACTAAAAATATAAAGACGATATCATAATTGAAGTATGCTATGCGTAGGTCATGGCCCTCTCAGAAGAGCACGAGGCACAGGGATCTCCAATGTATCCACATCGGACATACACCCTCCCATCGGCATCACTTCTACAAGGCTGCCTCTCAAAAGGATATCCCTTGGGAAGCTTAGCAACCTTACTGCCCATCCATTTGTGGTTGAAATGGTGCACACACTGAAGAGACGGCAGCTGCATCAGTGAACCCGGCAGGGCCTTGATGCCCGTGTCAATGAGATACACACTTGAGAGACAAGGGAGCGAAGGCTTGCTGTGGTTGGAAGAGTGGTGTGGGTGTGTTGTAGCCCCAGAGGCGATAGTGGGCTGACCGCTCGCAGATCTCGAGGGGTGCAAGAAAGACAGGATCGAATTTGACAAGGTCGATAAGCTCATCTTCCCGCCTTGACCTGTGCCGGGTGTGCAACCTTTGAAGCCACCTGCTGATGCACATGGTTGCATGCACCCCCTCCTGCCAGCTCCAGCAGCACCATCCGCCTCTCTGCTTCCGCCACCACCCACCTCTCCGTGCCCTAGGTTTCCCAGGCTACACAGATCCCTTCCTGGGGACACAGCTGCAGCCTCTGCCCCCAAATCCACCTCCACATTGTCACATCGTTCCCTGTCACACTGCTGCCCCTCACACCTCACCTCTGCACCATCCACCCCGCCCTGGTCCCCACCGTCGCCACACGCCTCCCTAGCTCTGCCGCAAACAGCAGAGGAGGTTTCGAGCTCGCGAAAACTGGGGCAGGAGACGATGGCGAGGGTGGCGAGGGAGGGCAGGGAGGACGGCACATTGGGCGGCAGGGATTTGAGCATGGGGCAGCCATGGACGACCAGGATTTGCAGGTTGGAGAGGAGGGACAGGGAGGGGGGAAGCTCCTCCAGTTTCCACAGGAGTGACACGGTTAGCCTGCGAAGTTTTGTGAGCTGCCCGAGTGGTGGGAGTGTGTCCAGGTGACGGAGACCAACCAGGCGAAGCTTTTCGAGAGCGGGCAGCCACACTTGGCCTTCTCGGCTGAAATCAATCGTTCCGGGCAGGGCTTGAAGAGCTGTGCACTGCTCTAGCTCAAGAGAACGAAGGCTTGAGAGTTGCCCGAAGGAGTCGGGCAGGTTGGAAAGATGATACACCCAGATCAGCCGAAGAGTTTGAAGTTGTGAGAGCGATCCAAAGTCGTGGGGAAGGGCAGTGAGAGATGCACAGTTATGCAGCTCCAAAAGTTTCAGCCTGAGCTGCCCGAAGGTATCGGGCAGCGACAGCAAACATGTGCAGTCCCTCAGCCGCAGCTGCTGAAGGCTGACCAAGCTGCCCAACTTCTCGGGCAGGTGGCTCAATTTCCTCAGCCTCAGCCTGAGCACTTGTAGCACGGGCAGGTCGCAAATCTCCTCGGGCAGGACCGAAACTTTCTCCGAGCTGACCTCCAAGTGGCTAAGCATCTTCAACGCGGCAAGGGACGACGGAAGTGCCTGTAAGCACCAGCTGTTGACTCTTAGGTAAGCGAGCGCGCTTAAAGACTCTAAGTGCGAGGCACTTGTAGCCAGAGAGGTTAGGGACGAATCCCTCTGCCTCTTAATCCGAGCGCTTAAGATCATGGCACCATAGCTTAATCCCCCGGATTCAGACCACCGCCCATCGATCCGCTTCTCATCGTTGCTTCCCCAGCAACCCCCCGCATTTCCTCCCCCACCCCCTTCCGCCAGTGCCTGTTTTCCCCCTTCCCCCCAGCACCACGCGTCGTCCTCCCCCAATTCAAGCGCGGAGAGGCTAGTGAGGAGAGAGACGGCGGGCGGAAGGGCGGGGATTGCGCTCAGGGGTAGCAGGCGCAGCGATTCCAGGCGCGGGCATTCGCGGAAGAGCGCGGAGAGGCCGGCTGGGGAGACTTGCCCCTCCGCGCGAGATTGGTGTGCAAGAGCAAATCTCTTCAGATGCGGACACGTGGCAGCGATCCGACGGACCAAGTCGTCTTGAAGAAGCGGGGACTGGAGCGGCGGCACGATTACATCTTCGGCAATATCAACGTGGGAGATCGTATAAAACGTTCTTAACGCGGACAGGAGGCCAGTCGGGGTAATTTCCCTCGTTATAGCGACGTGGGCGAGCGCGAGGCGGAGGAGGCGGCTCCAGCGCTTGCAGACTGGATTGACAGTCTGCAAGGCGAGGTGGATCGAGCGGCGCGAGACGAGGCGAAGCACCACCGCGAGAACGTCGTCGGGGAGGTCGTTAACTGGGAAGGGGACTAGGTGCGCCTCGTCACGGGAGGAAGGCGAGTCGCCCGATGTTGATTCCGAGAAGAAAGTGATAATAGTGCCAGGGAAAAAAGCCATGGCGGAAACACAGCGGTGGCCAGGGACTGCAGGGTTAGGGGTGCAGAATCTGCAGCAGGCGAGGGAAAGAAAGAGGCAAGAAACTTTCTACTGAACCAACTTTCTGGAGGCGACAGGACCGAAAGATCATCGGTACAACGTGCTCCGATAAGCTTTCAGGCTGGAATCGGACATTTAGAATCGTCTCCCAATGAGAATATTACAGGAAATGATTATGCTCACACATCCCATGTGGCTATGACAAAATCTCGGCAATGCACACACGGATAGCTGTAGTTCCTAGAGTAAACAAACCCCCCTTCAACGCTCTCACAAGAATGCCTAGAAAAGCCATACACCTCAGGCAAGGAAAATACCGGGAACCCAAACCAACTGCCGTTCCTAAAATGTATTGTTTGCAACGACTCTATGTGGAGGAGAGATGTTGGAAGGGATCTGATGCCGCAATCGAATACAAGCACATGGCGCAGCGTGCCGTTGTCCCTTGTGTTAACCTTTGCCTCTTCTTCCGACTCCAGTGTGCACAAGCTTGTACACTCGATGAGAGCCAGCTTGGACAAATTCGGAAGGCCGGAGATTGCGCCACGTGGCAGAAATGCCAGGTTGGTGCATCTGTGGATCACCAACAGCTCAAGGGATTGAAGCTGTGGGAGGGAGGCAGGGAGGCACTCCAAGTTGGGCAGCTGAGAAAGCATTAGCTTCCGCAGGGACTTCAGCTGCCCGAGCGAGTCGGGCAGGCCGGTGAAATTTTCCAGTCTGACCAGCCTGAGAAGCTCCAGCTTGGGCAGGCAGCCAAGGTCTTCAGGCAGGGCGAGGATCCCAGTGTAGTCCGTCATCTCTAGTATCACTAACGAGGACAGCCCTAACGAGGATGCAGGAAAGGGCCTCCCTGCTCTCCAGTGATATCCTTCCCCAGCCAGCCCAGCCTCTGCCACTCCCTGTTCCACCCCTTCCCACGCCCTCCCCTCCTCTTCCCACTCCTCTTGCCCCTCCCCTTGCCGTTCCTCCTGCGCCACCCCCTGCTGCATCTCCCCCCGCATCTCCTCCTCCTGCTCCTGCGCTTCCTCCTCCTCCCACGTCTCCTCCCCTCCGCGCCCTCCAGACCCCGTACGCCGCCCAATACGCAGCACCCTCCCTTGCGGAGCAGACGATCGGCATTGACTGGCATGGTCATGAGGGAGGGGAGAGGAGCCCCTGCTTTGATCAGGGGTGGGGTTCGAAGGGCTAGATGGGTGGGGCGGCAGAGGAGGGAGATGGGTGGTGAAGGGGGGCACGTGGGGGAGGTCCGGGCAGGCAGCGATGCTGAGTCGTTCCAAGCTGGCTAGATAGCACAGGGAGAGGGGAAGGCGCACCAGCCCGCACGTGCTCACGTCTAGTATTCTCAGCCTTGGGAGGTGCCCGAACAGTTCGGGCAGTGTGCGAAGGCCCCTTAGCTCGTGTAGTTTTAGAGTTTCCAAAGCGGGCAGGGAGCTGAAACTTTCAGGGAGCCATCGAAGCCAGTCACACTGGTGAATGCTGAGGAATGAGAGGCTGGAAAGCTGCCCGAACGAGTCGGGCAGCTTCAATAAGCTCGAGCAGTTCGTCAGCCACATTCGCTGTAAGCTTTTCAACCTGCCCAGGCTCTCGGGCAGCTCCTCCAAAGACTCAGCCTCGAGCTTCAGGACCTTCAAAGACTCCAGCTGCCCTAAACTCCCGGGCAGGGACCGAATAACCTCTGAATGAAATTCTAAATGCTCCAAGCGCGTTAACTCGCCGATGCTCCACGGCAAGCTCTCGAAGCAGCGACTGCTGACAACCAGCTTCGTCACACGACTTAACGAGTCCAGGCTTATATCGGATTCGATCAGATTCGCAAACGTGTCTAATCCGCGCCAGGCTGGGTCGTCGCCTAACTCGAGCACTTCCAGCTCCGTGAGGAGAGTGAGCGACGCGGGGAGGGCGGAGATCCCGCTGAGGGAGAACAAGCGGAGCTGCTGCAGGCGAGAGCATCCGCGGAAGAGCGCGGAAAGCCCCGCGGGGGAGAAGCGCGCGCGGAACTGGTACCCAATGAGAAGGCGCGTGAGATTGGGGCAGCGCGAGGAGATTCCGCGAAGGAGATCGTCTGTCGCGTGCGGAACGGTGTTCTCCGTTATATCGAGTTGTGACAATGTCGGGAATGTGCCGACGGCGGAGAGAAGCTGCGCGGGGTGCACGGCGCGCGGAACCTTGAGGTAGACGCGCGCGAGGCACGTGAGGCGGAACCAGCGCTTGCAGACGAAGGCGTGCGCGAGGGAGTTGCGCGAGAGGTGCTGGAGGACCAATGAGAGCACGTCGTCAGGCAGACGGTCCAATGGGAATGCCGGATGCTGATTCGCCGAATGGCAGGTAGACGTGGGACGATCCGACGGTGCATCTGCACGATGCGGGTGAACGAGAGACGTCGAGACCGTCGGATCTTGGATTGGTTTGATCAAGGATCTCTCTGAGCCGTTGAGGCCCCGTGGCGCAGATGCCGTGACAACAGCGGTGGATGCCATATCAATACACACTATAATGAGAATCGATTCAGCTAAATAGGCGAGCGGAAAAAGGGAATCATCACAAAACTCCGCGGTAGCCAAATCCAGAAATAATGCCTCCTAAAAGATGTCCTTAGCTTTCACCGTGCCTCGCATATTCCCTCGTCACCTTGAAAGTGCCGCGCCATTTCCCTTCCCCCAATCTCCTCCGCCAGCCTTCTCCCGCCCCGCGCGGGGCTTGTCGCTCGCATGCTCGCGCGGGCACTGTCGTGTGCCGAGTGGCTTTTGCCTTGTGCCGTGCGGCGAAGGTTTTCGCGAACCTGACGTGACCGTACGCGTTTGTGCTGTACGTACACGGAAAAAAGACCAGATAGACTGTACCGCTCCACTCGACGTTCAGACATAAAAATATGAATACACCTCCTCCTAATCAGGTCACGCTAGTCGCGAGTATTTGCTTGGCTTCAGTGTAAAAATGCATGGCTTCAGGAAAATCTGCGTTATCATGTGTGCCTATACATTATGCACATGCTTCCACTTCATTGCATGCCATTTGTGCTTGCTATTGATTTGTGGGATTGGTGAGTGACCGAACCCACTTGGGCAACCGCATGCTGATGTCGCTCCAAACTGCTGACACCCATGGCACACCATTTGCAAAGTGCACCTGCAAATGGAAGCAAGATCCAACAACAGAAAACAGAATGCAGTCACCGCAAGAGTGAAAAACAAGAAGCTTACTACCTTATTCCTCTCAAGCCGAACCTTTTCACCCGATAAATAGAAAATACAGGAGTAACACTCACCGGCTGGTAACCATCTGCGTGCAGCTCATATTTGGGCGAATACACATGCACCCGAGCGGTGGCTCCCAGGGGAAGCACTGGAGATCCAACGGTTGCCCTTCCATCTTCTTCTGCAGCGACCGCCCTCCCATTCTCATGTCTAGACTCAGCATCAGAAGGCGCTGCCCCCCTTCCATGCGAACTTGGGGGGGTGACGTCAGGTGCAGTGGCGGTGTTGGCGTGAGTGGTAAGGGGTCCGGAGCCAGTGGTAGGGTGGTAGAGGGACGTGAGGGGGAGGTGGTGGTGGGTCCATGAGAGGATGGAGCCCTTGAGATTGTATGCGTCCATCTGGTGCTGAGAGCGCAGCATTCGCGCATAGTTGCCACTGCGGTAGCCTATGGTGCTGGGCATGCAAGAATGGATCGGATGGGAATACGAGACGAGGCACAGAAGGGGAGGAGAGGAGGGGGAGGCGGTGGTGGGTCCACGAGAGGATGGAGCCCCTGCGATAGCGTGCGTCCATCTGGTGTGGAGAGCGCAGCATGCGTGCGTAGTTGCCACTGCGGTGGCCTATGGTGCTGTAGGGTGTTTTTGAGAATTCTCAAAAACACCCTACAAAATCAAGGTGTGTGGGAGGGGGAATGGGGAGACACAAAGGGAGGCAGTGGTGGGTCCAAGAGAGCGTGGTTGCCACTGCGATACCCTACGGTGCTGTGTCATGTCGGAAGCAGGGGAAAACGAGGTGATGGATATGGCAATACGGAGGTAGATAGAAGAAAAAAGAGCCAGCTTTCTCATGAGGCGTGAGCCAGCAAAACTCACCAGCAGAACACCACTCCATGATCAGTTAACCGTTCCATGTGCCGCGCAAAGTCTGTCTTGGGTTGGATGCTCCAGTGTGCCTAACACAACACAAGAGAAACACTCCCGCGGCCCCCACCCCCGCTCCCCTTCTCACCAGTAGCACACCACTCTGTGATCATTGACCTCTCCATCTGCCGCTCAAAGTCCTTCTGCTTCAGCATGCCGCTCCAGTCACCAGCCACAACCCTCTGTCCCCCCCCCCCCCACCCCCTCCCCCCCCCACACCCCCCCGTTCCCTTCTCACCAGTAGCACACCACTCTGTGGTCATTGAACTTCTCGATCTGCCGCTCAAAGTCCCTCTGCTTCAGTGTGCCGCCCGGAATCATCGACACCGCCGTCTCTTCCTCCGTGCGCGTATCCACCACCACCACCTGCCGCCCGCCCCTCGCATCCCCTCCCACATCTCCCCCCCTCCTCCCCCATCCCCCTCCCCTCACTCCCCCCATCCCCCCTCCTATCCCCTCCCCCGCCACCCTCCCCGCCCCTTGCCTGCTGTGCCAGCAGCAGCTGGTGCAGCTCAGTCACGCCCATCTCAGGCACCTGGCGGGGGGACAAAGGCCAAGGGGAGACGAGAAGAGGGGGGAGGGGAAGTGTGTTGGGGTTGGTGGGGCAAGCTGCAAGTGCAGAGGAGAGCAGCAGCTGGTGCAGCTCAGTCACGCCCATCTCAGGCACCTGGCGGGGAAGAGAAGGAGCGGAAGAGAAGGGCTGAAAGTGAGAGGGCAGCAGCGGCTGGTGAGGCCCAGCCACCTCCACCTCAGTTGGTTTGAACTCTAAAAAAAAAAGGCTCAATGATAAGCACAGGCACCCCCACCTCAGGTAGAACCCGATGGATGAATGAGAGGACTGCTTTTGAGTCGGCTCAATTTGAGAGGGGGAGGTTACACGGGGCGGGCTTAAGTCTTAGAGAATTCTGTCAACAAAAATGGGATGGGGAGGCAAGAAGGGGCGGGCTTACGTCTTGGAAGAGCTTCGACTGCATCCGACCGTACATCTCCCATAACCTTTGCCGCCGCTCCTCTCCGCGCGGCTTCTCCGCGCCCCTCTCCGCGCCCCTCTCCGCGCCCGGATTCATCCCTCCCTGCTCCTCTCCGCGCGGCTTGTCCGCCAGCCTTTCCGCTTCCGCGCCCGCCGTCGCTCTCGCTTTGGCGCCAAGGGCTGCTGGAACTCCATCCGCCGCGGCTCCTGCGACGTTGGGCGACTCCTCCATGCGACGCGAATCGTCGCCGGCCATGCGAAGCGTGCGACGTCGCAGAGAGGGATAACTCGCGGCAGGGAAAGCGAGGAGACGGGACGGAAAGCGCGGAGAACGGTGGCGGGAAAGGGAGGAGCGAGGAGATAGAGCGGAGGGACGGGGTACCGGACGGGCGCTGCTGAAAGCGCGAGGAAGAGGTGGTGAGATAACTGCAAGCATGGCTGAAATGGGACCAGAAGCACTAAATTTGTCACTTGTGCTGGTTTGTGTACGCGTTACAGTATGTTTTTCACGTATGGATTGACGTATCTTAAATATGCCGCAATTATACCATCCGAGATATAAAGAAACAATGGATTTTCCTTAAGATTGTGCATATTTTGGGTAAGTGCGCATATCTAGGCTGCCAATTTAGACACGGGAAAGGTACAAATATCTCCAAATGCCTACCAACCCAGTATGAAGGCTAGTTGACTTCCAACAAACTAGAGGGGCACTTAGGGTAGGCTAATCCAGCAGTACACACCCAAATTTGCTCCACAATGCTGAAGAACCAAATCCTCAGCAAGGAAACATCCCCAAATACACTTCATCCCCTCTATTGGTCATACCCGCCTTGAGCCCCTCCAGGGTACCCCGCCCCCTCCCCATACCTCCCCCCTCCGTACCCGCCACCTCCTCCCCCGTACCCAGCACCACCGCCACCACCACTGTACCGGCCCCCGCCGCCACCATACCCACCACCGCCGCCACCATAGCCCCCCCTGCCGCCGCCTCCTCCCCTGCCGCCTCCCCCGCCCTCAGTCCTGTTGGAGGCATAGTCCACGCGCACTGTCCTGCCGTTCAGCTCCTGCGAATGGTTGGGAATGGTTGGGAATGGTTGGGAATGGTGGAAAGTGACAAGGTTTAAGGAGGGGAGAGGGTGTAAGTATGGGTGGTGGAGTGTTGTGCACAGATCCTCTCTCGCCATCTGCCCGGTTGGAGGCATAGTCAATCCACACCCCTTCCATTCAGCTCCTAAGAGCGCTGGGGAAATAACATGTTTGAGGGTTCAGGTGCGGAGAAAACAGGTGGGGGGAGGCGGGCGGGGAAGGGGGATGTGACGATTCTGTAATGCGTCCTCGCACTGTCGTAATAATCTTGTCGGGGGCTCGTGGGGAGGGGGGAGGGGGGAGGGGAAACGGCATTGTAGCAATTCAGAATTTGAAGCGTTTATACATGGAAGTTGCGGAGGCCACAGCCTGGTTACCTCCCACAAGAAACCGGCTGGCAGCACCAGCTATTCCAGTGTACCTGTGTGCAGGACTTCTGTTGACTCACCTTGCCGTTGACGCCCCCAAACGCACTCGCAGCCTCCTCGTCCGAAAACCTTCTGCGCTGCAAGAAATACAAGTAGCTCGGTAACAGTATATCTTGCCGCCGACTCACCTTGCCGTTGACGCCCTCCAGCGCGCTAGCAGCCTCCTCGTCCGACGAAAAAGACACGAACCCGAATCCGCGCGAGCGGCCCGTGAACCGATCCCGAATCACCTTGGCTGCACGCGATCAGAGGGGCGGCGGGAGAACGACGGAGGGATGAATGCCGTGACACAGAAGCGGCAAGGCGCGTGAGCAAGGTGGGAGGCGGTCCAGGCGTGAGCAAGGTTGAGCGAGGGACCCACGGAGGAAGCACGCAACAGAGTTGCACGAGAGAAGGGGAAACTAAGAAGCGGCCGCGAAGAGTCTAGTTTTGAGGCGCCTCAAAACTAGACTTCTATCACGCGGCCGCGAGGAGGGAACCGCGGACGACGAGGGAAGACGGAGGAGCGGAGACGGAAGGACGAGAGCGCGGGGAATGAGAATGCGCGCAAGAAAAAGCGCGGGGAAGAAGCGATCAGAGTCGGCCAAGGTTGAGGAAAGCCGGGGGACAGGGGACGGGGGATGGGGAATGGGGGATGGGGGATCCGCGCAAGGGAACAGGGCTCACGGAGGGTGAAGGACGGAGGGGGGATGGCGGAGGGAGGATGGCGGAGGGTGGCGGATCCGCAGGGGAGAAAGTGGGCTCACCTTCCTCGACGTTTCCGTAAGCGGAGAAGGCGTCAGTTAGCGCCTTCTCGTCGGATTCCCACGCAAGACCTGCTCGGAGCAGCACGGATCAGACGCGAAAGGCACGTACAAGGGAAAGGAAAGCAGGATGAGGTCACGAAGCAGGAAGACCACACACGACGGAAGAACCATCATGACCACACATGACAACACATGACCACACATGACCACACATGACCACACATGACGGAAGAACCATCATGACCACACATGACCACTAGAAATGCAGATCACGTCATGCGGGAGTTGGGACTCTTGGAAAACGATAACTGGATAGTAAAATACGATACTATGGGAAGATTCTTGAGGCGCCTTAAAAAAAAAAAACGATACCATGGGAAGAAGCATGCGGGACTCGTTCGTTCGTTTCTCCTATTAACAAGGAAAGCCACGGCGAGCCACGTGGAACACATCTACCGGAGGAGGTCGCCGCTGCCGCTGCTGCATCAGTTCACGCGTCAGCGTCTTAACTCCAGTTCAGCGGCAGAGTCGGCCCAGATCCGTTGGCGTCAACAGATCTTAAGATTTTATGGATCCGGTGAGTGGAACAGACCCCATGGCTGACGTAGAATGGAAACGAACCTCCGATAAAGAGCTAGTTGCCAGAAAAGAACCGCACTTCCTGGGTCATTGCGAAGATAGACTACCGGTATCCGTTAGATTTAACAGATCCAAAAAACCGACGGACAACGTGAACGCACCGCCGATGAAGAGCTTGTTGCCGGACATGAATCGCACGGCTTGCGTCATCGCCGCGGGAAGCAGCGATAGGTGCGGCTGCGGGGAGTGAAACGCGGACAAGGCGTCCCCCGCGCTGCCTTGTGTCACTGATCTCTTCAGCACGTTCCCGATCCCCCGAAGAAACGCCATCGCGGGAAGATTCAGATATTAACTGAATAGATCGTGTGAATAGATCGTAACACGGTTGACGGTTTCCGCTGCTTGGAGCCTTCAGCTGGAAGCAAAAGGCAGCACGAGCACCGAAAGCGAACTAGGACAATGACCGAGGCAAGCAAATCCAGGCAGCAAAAGCGCTGGACGAAAAGCTAAACAAGAGAGCCCCAGCTTGGGTTATTTGAGCGACGATGGACCGATGGTGATTTTGCGCTGCTGTGGCACGGAGAGGGCAAGGTTGGAAGAAATGGAGGAATAGGAAGCACAAGGCGCACTGTACAAGACCAGTTAGGCTTATAGCGGAAAGTAAAAAAGACTCTTATCGAAAACGCCCAGTTCTCACAAGGGTGGCAGTGGCTGGCTCCGTGGACCGTGCTGGGAGGGAACCAGGGCTTGCTGTATCGCTCTGCATGGATCAGGCGTGCGACTAATTAGCAAAACTTTCTCCGTGGTCCACCACCACGAAAACCCTAGTACACCTGAAGGCGTATATCTCCCCACATAGAGAATTAACTAGTATGCTATACCTTGCAAGGATTTCTGTTGCAAATCGGACCATGAGGCATTGACGAACGACCAGAGAAAAAGGCAGCCTAACTTTCACTACGCAGCTATTTATTTACCACCACATGATGACAACCTAAGGAGTTTGCCATCAAATGCGACAAATAAATACTTGGTTTCCCCTCAAATAAATACTCTCAGTAAGCTGAGGCTCGTTTCCTTAGGCCTGGAATGAAAGCCGATATTTCCTTCTCAAGGTCTTCCAGGCTCTGCTCCAGCTGCTCCTGAAAGTCCCTATCCACCTCGGTAACCGCCCGCCCATGCACCACCACTGCTCTCTTGCACACCACCACAAACCGGACTATCGCAGCCGTCAACATCTCCAGCTCCGACGGCTGCAATTTCTCCGGTTCCTTGGCCCGGGGGTTCGCCCCCTGGGGATTCGCCTGGTAAAACGCCATGCACACCCCCAGCACGCCACTGTTCACCTGTAGCGCCACACTGCCCTGCAGCAACCGCTGCAGCGTCTGTAGCCTTGGCAGCTGTAGCGGCCCGGACCCAGCTGCCATTGCCGCCGCTACAACCGCTGCCGGATCCTTCTTACCCGCCGGCCCTCCTGCCGCCCCTGCCGCCCCGGAATCCCCCAGCTGGCTGGCCATCTCAGCCTCCAGAGCAAACGACCGAGATTCGATAATCTCCACTGCGCACTGGATCGGCGAGTACTCCCGAACCTCTGACCGAACCACGGGCTGCCGGCTGATTAGGCTCGGGAGTGTGCTCTGGGTGTACAGCAGTGTTCGTCTCTTCCACTGGTCCTCCATCTTCCCCTGCTGCTTCCCATTTGGCGTGAACGGCGTGTCAAAAAAGAAGCAGCTGAAAGTCGGAGTCCCCGCGATTGGCGGCTCGAGAGGCCTTCCCAGCCATCGATCCTCCCCGATCCCGACCACGGGTTCAACGGCTGTGATCTGCATGTACACGAGGTTGGGCTTGAGCGCCGAGGGGTCCACCTGGCGCGAGTCCTGGATGATTTGGAGAGGCTCCTCGTCAGGCGAGCGTGCGTCGTACAGCGCCTTGAGCTTCTCCATGATGTCGCCCAACCGCACGTCCCTGGGCTCGCGGTAGATGAACTCCCTGACAAGAAGAGCAGGGGTTCGGCATGGGGATCGGCGGCATGGGGATGGCAAGGAAATGATTTTGAGTCGACTAAAAAATCGACTCATTACACTCGCGGTAGATGAACTCCCTGTCAAGAAGAGCAGGGGATCGGCATGGGGATGGCAAGGGGATGATAGTGCACGAATCTGTAGGGGTTCCGCTTTTGAGTCGACTCAAGAATAGTGCACGAATCTGTAGGGGTTCCTCGTCCGGGGAGCATGCGTCATAGAGTGGCTGGAGCACCCAGCCTCATGTCCCTCCGCTCGCAATAGATAAACTCCCTGGAAGGTGGTGGTGGTGGGGGGGGGAGGGAGGAGGAGGGGGGCGTGAGGGGAAGGAAGAGGGAAGGAGGGAGTGAAGAAGACTGATGAGGGAAGGAATTTACCCAGAAATGAGACAGCATGGGAAGGCAGCGAGGGTGTTTACCTGCCATCGATGTATCGGAAGCGTTCCCCATAGAAGCCGACTCGATAGTAGCAGGCGTCCTTGAAGGGGATGGGGCTTGTCTCCTGCTGCTCCACGTTCTCGTAGATGGATGCGATCTTGTTGTGCGTCTTGGTCAGCTGGAGGAGGGGGGAAAGGTAAGGGGTGAGGAGAGTGGGGGTGGTAGGATAAAAGGTGCAGATCAGGAGGTCAGGGTGGCCCTCCAGCTGCTCCACCTTCTCGTAGATGGAGAGGGAAAGATCCTGTTGTGCGTCTTCGTCAGCTGGGGGGCGGGGAGATGGTAGCAGGGTGCAGAGCAGGGAGGCAACAGGGAGGCCCCTCGTTTGTTCTCCTGCTGCTCCACGTTCTCGTCGATAGAGGCTATTTGTTGTGCGACTTGGTCAGCTGGGGGGGGGTAGGATTCAGGGTAGTGCAGGGCGCTCAGCGGAGGTGGATTTTGGGCGACAACTAGGGCCCAGGGGGTTGCTCTGCTCTCCTGCTGCTCCCCCATCAATGGATGCCATCGTGTTGTGCGTCTTGGTCAGCTGGGGGGCTTTATAGCAAGTGCTTAAGGGTTCCCTTAGCTTCCTCGTTGTCATTCTCGCCCTCCACACTCTAGATCACTTTTCCCCTCTTCTCTCCCCCACCTCTTTTCCCCACCCTAGTCAGAAGACCCCTGACCCCACCTGCTTGTAGTCGTGGCGAACGCGGAAGAGCGGCAGCAGCAGTGCGAGCATTTCAGCGCAGAAGTGGAAGAGCTCCGCCTTGTAGAAGAAGTTGGACGCCATCTGCAGGTGCTTCACCGCGCCCTCCACCGTCAGGCTCGACGCGCCAAACTCCGACTGGGAAGAGAAGGCTCGCGCGCGCCACTGGTGCCGCGCCAAGGGGCAGATGCTCCAGAGCACTTCTAGATGCTCTTCATCCCACACCAGCTCTTGAGACGCGATTTGCAGACCCTGGTGGGGTTGGGGAAGGGGGGATGGAGATCGGGGGAAGTAACCATGTGAATGCTAGTTTTGAGGCGCCTCGAAACTAGACTCCTATCACGCGGTTTTTATACATGGAGATCGGGGGAAGTAACCATGTGAATGCTAGCACCACTGGTGGCGCGCCAAGGGGCAGATGCTCCAGAGCACCTCCAGGTGCTCCTCGTCCCACACCAGCTCCTGGGACGCGATTTGCAGACCCTGCAGGGAGGAGAATGGGAGAAAGGGGGGAGGAGAAAGACGACGGGAGAAGGGAGAGTAGTCTTGAGTGCCACTAGGGGTGGCGAGTCTATTTTTGAGGCGCCTCAAAAATAGACTCCTCACTCCTGGCACGCGATTTGCAGACCCTGCAGGGTGGGTAACTGGGGGAGGAGAAAGACGATGGGAGAAGGGAGAGTAGTATTGAGTGCCACCAGGGGTGGCGTGCCAAGGGGCAGATGCTCCATACGACCTCTAGGTGCTCCTTGCCACACACTAGTTCCTGGGATGCGACTTGCAGGCTGTGCAGGAGGGGGGTTGTGGGGGGGTGGGGGGGTGGGGGAGGAGATGGGAGGTGTGGAAGTGGAGGGGATGTGGGGGGGAGGGGTGTCAAGACGGAGAGCGCTTGGATGGCAATGCCAGCCCCAGCGACCTAGACCCCAAGCCAAGGCACAGAGACGACTATCCGGAATGCTCCATTTGATTCACAAAGCCAGCCCTGAGACCTAAACCCTCAAAAGCAATGCCTGAGCCCCTGATGAAAGGAGTGTGTCTGTCTCACCCGAATGACAATCCCGGCAACAGAGACAGCACACTGAGCTGCTTCCGCCCACTGGTTCATCTCCTGGTGCGCGTCGCAGAGGTGCAGCATCCACATGATGTACAGGTCCGGCACGTGCCCGTACGCCTGCGCCAGGATGTAGTAGCTCTCCACTATGGCGTACTTGTCGTTGGACGTCTTGAGGCCCTCCATCTGGTGATGGATGTGGAGAGGAGACAGGGGGGAGGGGTATGGGTGGTTGAAAAAAAACTCAACAGGTCGGGCACGTGCCCGTACGCCTGCGCCAGGATGTACGCGCTCTTCACTACGGCATACTTGTTGGAATGATCGCAAACCTGCGTCCGTCCACCGCTGTCGGCAGCAAACCCCGAGTCTTTTTAAGCACAAAAAACACATTCGCCTCACAATTGTCAATAGGCACCTAGAAAATGGATTTCTCACCAGCTGTTCGTGCTGCGAGGCTGCATCCACCACGGTGAGCAGCATATTCTGCGTCTCCTCCACATTCGCCCACGTCCACCGGTCAAAAGGGGGCTGCCCGTGTGCACGCACTTAGACGTACAATCACCTCACCCGCTATTTACAAACATGCGTCTCGATTAGACACCTAAGATATGGACGCCTCAAGAACAGACAACTCACAAATAGACACCTCAAAAGTAGAGCTCTCACCAGCTGTTCGTGCTGCGATGCTGCATCCACCACAGTCAGCAGCATATCCTGCGTCTCCTCCACATTCGCCCACGTCCACCGGTCCCTCTCCTTCTTCCTCCGCCTCCCCACCAACACACTCCCCCCCTCCTCCCACTCCTCCTCCTCATCCTCCTCCTCCTCCTCTTCCTCCTCCTCCTCCCCCTCATCCTCAACCACTATCTCAAGGCAAATCGAGGGCAACCCACACTCGTCTAGCAGCTGGAACCACTTATCCTCAGTCCCTAGCTCCTCCAAAGAGAGTCTCAGTTTCTCAACCTCAACTGACTCCACCAGATCCCCTGCCGCCGCCCCAGAACCCCCCCCACCAGCGGAGCTGGACACGCTGCTAGAGCGAGAGGTGGGGCCGAGGGCGGGCGAGGGCGAGTGGAGCAGGCGCATGTGCGAGAGCACCTCGGAGAGGGCCACTGTGAGGATGACTCTGAGGCGCTCCACGTCCCGCATGTGCAGCAGGGCGTTCTGAGGAGGAAGGGAGGGGAGCAGGGAAAGGGGAGAGTGCAGCTGAGGGCGAGGGTTTGTGGAGCAGGCGCATGCGGGAGAGGACCTCGGAGAGGGCCACTGTGAGGATGACTCGAAGACGCTCCACGTCCCGTATGCGTGGGAGGGCGTTCTGAGGGGGACGAGGAGGGGGGGGGAGGGTGTGGGAGGGGAGGGAAGGGGAGATAGAGTGGGGAAAGATTGAGGGCGAGTGGAGGAGACGCATGCGCGAGAGCACCTCGGAGAGGGCCACTGTGAGGATGACTCTGAGGCGTTCCACGTCCCGCATGTGCAGCAGGGCGTTCTGAGGAGGAGGGGGGGAGGGGAGGGGAGGGGGGGGGAGGTAGAGTGGGGAAAGGGGAGTGTGAGAGTGAGGTCAAGAGGGGTTAGAGAGAGCAACTGTGCAGATGACTCTGAGGAGCTCCACACCCCTCAGGGCTCTCAAACGGATCCTTCAGCAACACATGCCATACCATCCCACATCCCACATGCACATATCCACACATGCACACATGCACACATGCGCACATGCACACATCCTCACATGCACACATGCACGCAACACCAGAGGTCCACGCCATGCCACCCACCCGCAGCAGCAGCAGCAGGCAGAGCAGCGCCCTCTTCCTGATGAACTCTGGCCGGACTGCCATCTGCCTCAGCAGACTCCCAAACAGATCCTTCAGCAACATATCCCCACCCCTCCCCACCGCACTGCTGCCCCCACCACTCCCCCCCACATCACCACCAGCCTCAGCAGCAGCTGCAGCGGCCGCGGTAGCAGCAGCGGAGGGGGGCCCATCGAGCATGGCTTTGCCGTGGAGCCGGAGCATTTCAGCGAATGCCGGAACAAAGGGCTCCCAGAAGCTCATGGGCTGGAGGAGGGGGAGGGGGGAAGAGGGGGGAAGGGGCGTATGGTGAGGCTCAAGCGGAGGGGGGCAGATCTCGCATGGCTTTGCCGTGGAGCCGGAGCATTTCAGCAAAGGCGGGCGGTGGCGGCCGTTGGCGGGAGGTGACGGGCGGTGACTGGTGGAGGCGGGCGGTGACGAGCAGTGGCGGGCAGTCGCGGTGACGGGCGGTGATGGGCGGTGACGGGTGGTGACGGGTGGTGGCGGGCGGTGGCGGGCGGTGGCGGCCGGTGACGGGCGGTGATGGGTGGTGGCGGGTGGTGTGAGTGTGTTTGGATGTGTGAATGTGTGTGAAAGACCCCACCCACCCACGTGCGGCAGAGCGAGCATGACGGAGAGCGGCCCAGTGAGGCAGTCAATGGACTGATGGTGCAGTGTGGGGTGCTGTGGACAGATGGTCAGCGGCCAGTGTGCCTGGGAGTGGAGTGGATAAACTAGCACAAGAGCGTGCAGCACACGCACCCACGTGCGGCAGAGCGAGCATGACGGAGAGCAGGCTGGTGAGGCAAGTCCGTGGCTACGAGCTCGTCAGCCGCCATAGTCAGTGGGCACTATGTGAGGGCGCGTGTGAGAAACCACACACACTGACCTGTGGCAGGGCCAGCATGACGGAAAGCGGGCCGGTGAGGCAGTCCATGCAGGCATAGTCCGTGGCCACGAGCCCATCAGCCGCCATGTCGCTGAACTTCTCGAGGATCTCCAGGACTTGCAGTGAGCACCACGCTGCCACGCTCGACTCCCACAGCAGCTGGGGGGGAGAATAGGGTTGAGCGGGAGAGGCGGGAAGAGGAGGGGTAGAGCCCATCAGCCTTGTCGAGGATCTCCAGCACCTGCAGCGAGCACCACACCGCCACACTCGACTCCCACAGCAGCTGCAGGACACACGGGTAAGAGGGGGTTGGAGAGGAATGGGGAGGGATCCGAAAGAGGAGAGAGAGTGGCTTGAGGAGCCATGAGGCCGTCAGCTGCCATGTCGCTGAGCTTCTCGAGGATCTCTGGCACCTGCAGCGAGCACCACGCTGCCCCGCTTGATTCCCACAGCAGCTGAGGGGGGCATTCGGGGAGAGCGGGAGAGGGGACCAGGAGGGCTAGTGCCCATCAGGCACTATATAGCTGAAGTTTTTGAGGGTCTGTAGCACTTGCAAGGAGCACCATGCTGCCACGCTGAGTTCCCACAGAAGCTAGCACCTGAGGGAGGGGCGGCGCAGGGGAGCTGCATTTGAGTTGACTCAAAAGCAGCCGAGGGAGGAATGCGGGGGGGAGAAGGTGAGACAGGGATGTGAAGGCACACACCCATACCACTGCGTCACTCAACAAGAAAAAGAAAAAGAAAGAAAGTAAGATAGAAGAAGAGCCCCCTCACCAGCTTCCTAGATGCGCTGGGTGGCAAGTTTTGTCTGAGGAGCGCCATGGCATCCTTCGGAGGCATTCTCGACCGCATGAGCACGTCTCTTAGAGACACGGGCCCCTTGGCGCCCGACACCGCGCCCCCAGTGACCTTGCGGATGATCTGCTCCCTCTCCAGCATCGCCTTGGCATCCCCCCGCGCCATCTTGGCCAGCAAGCCGTTGGTCGCCAGAGAGACACGCAAAACCACTCACCAGTTTTGTGGAAGCGCTGGGCGGCAGGTTTTGTCTGAGCAGCGCCATGGCATCTTTAGGCGACATTCTCGACCGCGCGAGCACATCCCGCAGAGAGACCGACCCCTTGGCGCCCGACACCGCACCCCCTGTGACCTTGCGGATGATCTGCTCGCGCTCCAGCATCGCCTTGGCATCCCCCCGCGCCATCTCGTCCAGCAGGTCGTTGGTCGCCAGAGACACGCGGTCGGAGAACATGGGGATTGGCGGCGGCTCCACTGCGAGCAAGGCATCAGGCGACGCAGCCTTGGAGGGGCCGGACTTGGAGCCGGAGGGAGGGCGGGGCTTGCTGCCAGCTGCCATAAGCTGGGGGTTGTGCTGCAGGGGAGTGGGCGAAGGGGAGGGTGTTGGGGCGGGGGGGAAGTGAGGGGAGTAGGGGGAGTAGGGGCGTGGGGGGGGGGGAGGGGGGGGGGGGAGGTGGAGGGGGATAGAAGAGTTGAGTGCAAGATTGAGGGAGAAACGAGGAGTCTCAGCCTGTGTACTCACCAAGGTGCAAAAAAGCAGCCGCTTTTTTATTACCGTTTAAAACCGTATCGTTCTTTTCGGCCGTTTTAAACAGTAAAAAACGTTTCGAAAGTGTGTTTTTGAGTTGGTGCAAAAAAACGACCGAAAAATACAGTCGTTTTTTTGTACCTGTCAATTGTTGGAATTTTTTTCAGTACAGACAGTCGAACTCGCTGTAGTGAGTACTGACGTCGGCCCTCTGAGAACGTTGTTGAACTTTCGCCGAAGCGCGAATTCAACACTTTCTTGAACCGCGGAATTTCGACATTTGGCGAATTCAGAACGGACAGAACACCCGTCTCGTCAGTGTCGTTGGCTGATTTCGCGCCCTGCAATCACATTTTTCGCGTGCGTCGCGTCTTCACGACGAATTCGCGAGGTGCAGATTCAACCCTCGACCAATCACAACCCCAGCTTTGTGTTCCCCAACACCAAGCCCTTGGAATGCCTTGCAGCATTGCTGGTCAGCTGTCAAGTACAAACATCGAGCATAAACAGAAAGATGAGCAGATTCAGGTAGATAGTTCGCCGTCTCTACTTCTACTCAGCTATCATCTTCCCAGCACCACGCCATGCCTAGGCGGACGTCCGACGTTTGGGAGCATGTCAAGAAGGTTAAGGGCCCGAAAAGGCCTTGTAACCAGCTGTGTGTGCGTTCACTGTGGAACGATTAGTGTAAACGTGGCCTTGGTTCTGCTCGTTTCCGCCTGCCTGTCAAATTGTTTTGTCCCAAAAAAGTATATTAAACAAACGGTCGTTTGTTTAAGAAATCCACCATAAAAAACGACAATTTTTTTCGGACCGTGATTTTCGAAAACCGAATTTCCGCACCTTGGTACTCACAGTGCAAAGCACCTGCAAGGTCACAGATGAAGCACCTGAGGAAACACCTGAGGAAGCACATGAAGCAGCACCTGAAGCAGCACCCGCAAGTAAGCACCTGAGGAAGCACTTGAACCAGGGTGTGAGAAGGTACCTGGAAGAGCACGAGGGCCTGCTGCAGGAGCGTGAAGAAGAGGCGCGCACGCACGTCGCTCTGTGCAGTGCGTCGGCGTCCAGATTACATGCAAGTCGCCCCAAAGGTAACCTTAAGCAACGAACAACGCACCTGGAACAGCACGAGTGCTTGCTGCAGCAGCATGAAGAAGAGGCGTGTGCGCATGTCGCTCTGCTTCCATGACGTGAGCAGAGAGCACCTGGGAAAGCACCTGAGGACGCACCTGAAAGAGCACGAGGGCCTGCTGCAGTAAGGTGAAGAAGAGGCGTGTGCGCACGTCGCTCTGCTTCCACGACTTGAGCAGCGTGTCGCTGTCCAGGTTGCGCACCACCGTGAGCATCACCACCAGGATCTGCCGCCTCTGGATCACACCCAGGGTGTTGAACGTCTCCACCTCGTCCAGGATCTTAGTGTGGTGCGGAACAGTGAAGAGGGGTAGAGAGTGTAAAAATATGGTGCTTCGTTATTGGACACAGCAAATGTGAGGTTGCAAGGATACCTGGAGCGGATTCGGACCATCTAGAGGCAATACTGGCCATGTTGATAATGGGGGTATGTGCAGCGTCCGCTCTGGCTGCTGGCATGCAGAGCAGACCAGCATGGGCCTGTGTGGGAGTGTGACTGACCATGTTGACGATGGGCATATACAGCGTCAGCTCCGGCTGCTGGCATGCAGACCAACATGGGCATGCATGGGAGTGCCACTGACCATGTTGACGATGGGCATGTTCAGCTGTGCGATATACAGCTTCAGCTGCGGCTGCTGGTACACAGACCGCACTGGATATGTGTGGGAGTGAGAGTGAGCGACCATGTATGCCAGTGCGACTGACCATGTTGACGATCGGCATGTACAGCTGTGCGATGTACAGCTTCAGCTCTGGCTGCTGGTACCGCGCGTCGTACTCATGCTTAGCCACCTGGAACGCCAGCATGCGCGCAGCCTGCAGGCAGGGAGGCAGGGGGGGGGATGTTGGGGGGGGGGGTCAGGGGAAACAACAGAGGGACAGCGGGTTACGCTCGTAGAGGGGGAATAGTTGAACAAAAAACAAAGGAAAGACAAGGTAAGGAATGAGAACATCGAGCCGGATGATTGACAGAGCACGCATCCTAAGGCGGGGCAGGCTTGCATGGCATGCATGGCAGGGGCATACCAGCGATCGCTGACTGGGATCCTCGTGGTCGAGGCTCACAAAGAGATCCTTCAGCAGCACTGTCGTCAGATAGTTCCTGGGGGGAGGGGGGAAGGTGTGTGGGGGGGGGGGGGAGGGGGAGGGAGAGGAGCACGCAGAGAATAGGTGGGGGTACGAAAAGGAGATAGAGCAAGAAGGCCTTCACCAATACTGTCGTCAGGTAGTTCGTGATTATCCGTGCTGCTGGGACGATGGCGATGGCAACGTTGATGAGGACGAGGAGTGGTGGAGGGGTTGCGGAGGGAAATCAAAATCTGGCAAGTACGGACGTGAGTGAGGGCAGACGTGACCAGATAGCGATGCGGCAGAAGCTAGCGCGTTACTTCTTCCCCTACCTCAAACGAGACACGTACTTCTCTGTGGGTCCTCTGCCCGGCGTCTCGATGTAGAGGTCATGGTCGCACACTATCCGCAGGAAGTGCAGCTTGAACATGTGCTGCATGGGCGGACACACGCCCACGAACTGCGATAGAAAGAGCCCCACCTGCGGTGCGGTGAAAAAACATGGGTGGGATGGGTAGGAGAGAGTGGGGGGAAGGGGTTGGAGAGGAAGGGAGTGCAGCTTGAACATGTGCTGCATGGGCGGACACACGCCCACGAACTGCGATAGAAAGAGCCCGACCTGCGGTGAGAATAGGTAGGTGGGATGGGTAGGAGAGAGCGGGGGGGAAGATGGAGAGGAAGGGAGTGCAGCTTGAACATGTGCTGCATGGGCGGACACACGCCCACGAACTGAGATAGGAAGAGCCCGACCTGAGGTGACAGAGGGCGGAAGGGGGAGGTGCGAAGGGGGAGAGGAGTGGCCGGGGGGGAAGCATGGATGGAGGAGGGGAGCAACCACACGCACGAGCAGCCAGGGAAGCCGAGGCTCTTGGCGAGGGGGGAGGGTAGCTGGAGACAGCTGGTGAGGCGTGTCAACATACTCCAGGAGGGATAGAGAGAGAGAGAGAGAGAGAGAGAGAGAGAGAGAGAGAGAGAGAGAGAGAGAGAGAGAGAGAGAGAGAGAGAGAGAGAGAGAGAGAGAGAGAGAGAGAGAGAGAGAGAGAAGGAACAGGACGCTATTTTTGAGGCACATAAAAAAAGGGATAGAGAGAGAGAGAGAGGCCCGATGACGGAGATGAGGGAACAGGACGCTCGCGAGTTTGAAGACTTGTGGCGGGTCGATGACGGAGATGAGGTCGTAGCAGAAGAAGGAGATGGAGGAGCTCAGGCTCTTGGCCAAGAGGGTAGGCGGAGACAACCGCTCAGGCTTTTGAGGCGCCTCAGAAGGGCTCGAGGGGAGAGGAGAGAGAGCTCACCACTTCAAAGACTTGTGGCGGGTCGACGACGGGGATGAGGTCGTCGCAGAAGGAGATGGAGGAGCTCAGGCTCTTGGCGAGAGGGGGGGGTAGCTGGAGACAGCTAGTGAGGCGCGTGAACTAAAGATATAGAGAGAGGGAACAGGATGCTCACCAGTTCAAAGACTTGCGGCGGGTCGACCACGGAGATGAGGTCGTAGCAGAAGAAGGAGATGGAGGAGCTCAGGCTCTTGGCGAGGGGCGGGTCGGAGTCGGCCTTCTCATGCACCTCAGCCAGCAGGCACTCGAACAGCTGCCGGATGCACAGAAACACCTCGTCCTCCAGCCTTAATCTTGCGATCTCGTCGCCTGGTGTGGAGGGGGGGATTCAAAGCATTAAGCACCGGATGCACAGAAAGAAACGCCTTCTCCTGTCTTAGCTTAGCAATATCTCGTTCCTGCATGGACTGGACCATGACCTCTATCATTAATCTTATCTCGCCTTGCGTGCCGTGCGGCACTCAAAACCAGCAGCTCCCCTTGCAGCACTCAAATAAGACTCATCATCCTGTGGCACTCCTTGAGTCGAGAGAGACTCACGTGGACTGGCAGCGCAGAAAGCGACTCACTCACCCTGTGGCACCTGCGCGAGCTCCAGATCCATGGACTTGACGATCAACTGCAGCACAAACCTCGCCATCTGCGTCTTGACGATCAGCTGCAGCACAAACCTCGCCATCTGCACCTGGGGCGCCTCTAATGATACCCACCCTGGGGAACTGGGGCGACCTTCAGCTCTCTCACCTTGCGGCACCTGCGCGAGCTCCAGGTCCATGGACTTGACGACGAGCTCCAGCACAAACCACGCCATCTGCAGCGCCTCCGCGTACACCGGGCCCACTCGGAAGCCCCGGGACTGCCGGGATGGGGGGGGGGGAGGGGGAAGCGAGAGGAGAAGGGAGAGAGCGTGACAAAGTGACAACACAAGCGTCGCCATCTGCAGCGCTTCTGCGTACACCGGGCCCTCTCGGAAGCCCCGGGACTGGCGGATAGGCGAGAGAGGTGTGTGGGAGGTAAGGTAGGGAAGAAAGGAAAAGGGGGGGGGGGGGAAATGGCGAAGGAAGAGCTTGTGAGGATGGGAGGTGCAGTTTAAGGAAGCAGAATGAACTGAAGGGGTACATGGGAGGCTGGTTGTGACCCAGGTCCTCCGAGATAAAATCCAGAGTGATAAGGTGCCTCAAACCACGTCTATTGTCAGTCACTCCTACCTTACTGCGAGCCAAACTGCGCCACACGTTGCTGAGCCCCGGGTACACCGGCGGCTGGTTGCGGCCGAGGTCGTCAAAGATGAAGTCCACAAAGTGCACGAGGAAGCGGCTGCGCTCCATGGGGGCTGATGACTGCGGCGCCAGCTCCAACTGAACTCTGCTCAGAGCGGAGGACAGGGGGGGTTGGGGGGGAGGGTTTGGGTGTGGGTGAGGGGGGGAGAGGAGTCGGGGAGGTCGTCGAAGATGAAGTCCACAAAGTGCATGAGGAAGCGGCTGCGCTCCATGGGGCTCGAGCCTGACTGCGGTGCCAGCTCCAGCTGCACTCTGCTCAGAGTGCACGGGGGGGGGGGGGGGGGGGGGGGAGAGAGGCAGGAGATATAAGATGGCATGGCATGATGGTGGGCGCAAGGCATGAGAGAAACAAGCATTTGAGCACAGGCGTGCAACCAACCAACCAGCCTGGGCACAGCTACCTTTTTGAGTCGAGTCAAAAGTCATTTGAGCACAGGCGTGCAACCAACCAACCAGCCTGGGCACAGCTACCTTTTTGAGTCGAGTCAAAAGTCATTTGAGCACAGGCGTGCAACCAACCAACCAGCCTGGGCACAGCTACCTTTTTGAGTCGAGTCAAAAGTCATTTGAGCACAGGCGTGCAACCAACCAACCAGCCTGGGCACAGCTACCTTTTTGAGTTGAGTCAAAAGTCATTTGAGCACAGGCGTGCAACCAACCAACCAGCCTGGGCACAGCTACCTTTTTGAGTCGAGTCAAAAGTCATTTGAGCACAGGCGTGCAACCAACCAGCCTGGGCACAGCTACCTTTTTGAGTCGAGTCAAAAGTCATTTGAGCACAGGCGTGCAACCAACCAGCCTGGGCACAGCTACCTTTTTGAGTCGAGTCAAAAGTCATTTGAGCACAGGCGTGCAACCAACCAACCTGGGCACAGCTATCCAGGAGAGACCCACCCACCCGCCCGGACACCACGTTGATCATGGCTCGAAACGCTGCCACCTGCAAGGTTTCCACGCCATTGCCGATCATGCAGAGCAGCATGTTGAGCAGCGGGTAGAGGAACTGCATCAGCACCACCACGTCCACCGCCCTAACCCACCTGGAATCCGCACACCTGACCAGGAAATACCTACCTCGAAACCACATTGATCATGGCACGGAATGCAGCGACTTGCAAGGTTTCCACGCCATTGCCGATCATGCAGAGCAGCATGTTGAGCAGCGGGTAGAGGAACTGCATGAGCACCACCACGTCCACCGTCTTGAGTGCATTGATCGCCTCTAGCAAGTCCTCCCTAGGCAGGGGTGCCTCCAGCATATGGCGGTCGAACTGGTGGAAGAAGTCCCGCAGGCGGTCTGACAGGGGCAGGAGCGATGAGAAGAGGCGCGTGCGCACGCGGAAGATGGGCCTCCCTTCCTCCCAGTAGGTCAGGCGTGACTGGGGGGGGGAGGGGTTGGGGTGGTGCGGATGTGGGAAAGAGAACAGCTCAGGCGGTCAGAGAGAGGGAGGAGCGAGGAGACGAGGCCAGTGGGCACGCGGAAGATGGGCCTCCCTTTCTCCCAGTAGGTCAGGCGCGACTGGTGAAGGGGAGAATGGGGAATATTTGGGGGAGGGAACTGAGGAGGGAATAGAGCAGGGGCGAGACAGGGCTGTCCAACAGGCTCATTGCACACAGCAAATCAACGTGACAGGAGTCTAATTTTGAGGCGCCTCAAAACTAGGTTCATCGCACACAGAAAATCAACAGTTTTGAGGCGCCTCAAAACTAGGTTCATCCCACACAGAAAATCAAGCCCCGCCATCAGTGCAGCACAGCGAAACAGAAGCCCACCTTGGTGCTCTCCTGCAGGTAGCGCGGCTGCAGATTCTTGGCGATGGGCAGTTTCACTTCACATGAGACCGTGCAAATCACACTTTTCACTGACGCCAAGCAGTCAGGGACCACCACTAACACAGCACAGCCCACGTTGGTGCTCTTCTGCAGGTAACGCGGCTGCAGGTCCTTGGATATGGGCACCGTGCACATGCCACCATGCACATGCCACCATGCACATGCCACCATGCCAACCACGCTCTACCACCACTACTGAATCACAGCTCACCTTGGTGCTCTCCTGCAGGTAGCGCGGCTGCAGGTCCTTCGAAATGGGCAGATTGACCTCGCCCTTGAACGCCCTGCCATGACGTCATCCAGATGATACACAAGATGCATGTGCGGATGTGAGATACATGTGCGGATGTGAGATGCATGTGCGGATGTGAGATGCATGTGCGGATGTTAGATGCATGTGTGGATGTGAGATGCATGTGAGGATGTGAGATGCATGTGCGGATGTGAGATGCATGTGCGGATGTGAGATGCATGTGCGGATGTGAGATGCATGTGCGGATGTGAGATGCATGTGACGATGTGAGATGCATGTGAGGATGTGAGATGCATGTGAGGATGTGAGATGCATGTGAGGATGTGAGATGCATGTGAGGATGTGAGATGCATGTGAGGATGTGAGATGCATGTGAGGATGTGAGATGCATGTGAGGATGTGAGATGCATGTGAGGATGTGAGATGCATGTGAGGATGTGAGATGCATGTGAGGATGTGAGATGCATGTGAGGATGTGAGATGCATGTGAGGATGTGAGATGCATGTGAGGATGTGAGATGCATGTGAGGATGTGAGATGCATGTGAGGATGTGAGATGCATGTGAGGATGTGAGATGCATGTGAGGATGTGAGATGCATGTGAGGATGTGAGATGCATGTGAGGATGTGAGATGCATGTGAGGATGTGAGATGCACGTGAGGATGTGAGATTCATGTGAGGTTGGCAAGTGGTGAAAAGCCCTAGGACTGCAGACGGGAGCTGGTGGTTCGCGAACAGACAGTGGCACTGCTAAAGATAGAAAGAGAAGGCGGAACGTACTGTAGGGCAGCAGCGAGCGGCATCACTGCATAACCCACTGCCACCTGCATTCATACCACACATCACACCCAGTGACACAAAGCAAAGGGCACAGACAGAAACTACTTTTATCATTTCAATTTTTCAATCATGCAAGACCACAATATGCTTCAGACATCACCCTGTACCCCTTAGAAGCCCACCCTGCACCCCTTGCAAGTCAACCGCATACCCCGCATAAGCTCATCGGTTTGGGTCGTTCGGAGCGCAGGGAGAGGTCGATGTGGAAGAAGATGAAGAGCAGATGGTGCGAGGACGCCACTGCAGCGGGCAGCTGGATCTTCAGCCTGTACCCCTTACAAGCCTACGCTGTACCCTCATGAGCTCACCCTGTACCCCCTATAAGCTCACCGGCTTGGGTCGGTCGGAGCGCAGGGAGAGGTCGATGTGGAAGAAGGTGAAGAGCAGATGGTGCGAGGGCGCCACCGCTGCAGGCAGCTGGATCTTCACCTCGTCGTGAAACAGGGCGGGCCGCGTCCCCTGCACCACCTGGGTCGAGGCTGTTCGCAACATGGGGCCGTTGCGCTCCTTGGGGAATATGGCCTGGGGGAAAGGGAAAAGAAAGGGGGGAGAGAGTGGGGGGTGGGGGGAAACCGAAAACTCGATCATAAATAGCCCCTGTGCCCCCTTGCTCGCATAGACTTAAGCACTTTGGAACGGAGTGCTTTGGACCAGAGTGCTTTGAACCAGAGTGCTTTGGACCGGAGTGCTTTGGACCGAAGTGATTTCGAACGGAGTGCTTTCGACCGGAGTGTTCTTTACCAGAGTGCTTTCGGCTGGAGTGCTTTCGACCAGAGTGCTTTTGACCGGAGTGCTTTAGACCGGAGTGCTCCGGAGTGCTTAGGACCGGAGTGCTTTGGACCGGAGTGCTGCTTTGCATCGGAGTGCTTTGGACCGGAGTGCTTTGGACACGAGTGCTTTGGACCGGAGTGCTTTGGACCGGAGTGCTTCGGACCGGAGTGCTTTGGACCGGAGTGCTTCGGACCGGAGTGCTTTGGACCGGAGTGCTTCGGACCGGAGAGCTTTGGACCGAAGTTGGAATATGCGCGTATAGCGTTTTATACCAAAGCGTTTATACGAGAGCATATAAACGCAATACACTTAGGAGGAGGGGGTCGGATACGCGCAGAATACGGTGGCCCGGGCAGGGGATTTTTTTTTTTCTGGGCAGGTGGAAGTACGGGTTGCCTCAGCAGATGGGGGAGAGGGTGATGCTGTAGGGCTGGAAGTCATGGTGGCGCGCAAGCTACGGTAGAAAGGGAACTGCGAGAATGAGTATCGAATGTTGAAATGGCAGTACTCTGTTTGAGGCTAACTTGTCTCAAGGAGGAGTTGGGAGGGATTGGGAAGTGACGAAGTGGAGAGGGTTGGACAGAGGTTCGAAGGGGGGGCTGGTGGGGTTAGGGTTCGAAATTTGAACTCGAAGTTGAGTCCGCGCGATGTGCGAAGGCGAGTTTTTTCCAACTTAGCTTTGGACCGGTGTGCTTTCGACCAAAGTGCTTCGACCGGAGTGCTTTCGACCAGAGTGCTTTGGACCGGAGTGTTTTGCACCGGAGTGCTTTGCACTGGAGTGCTTTGGACTGGAGTGCTTTGGACCGGAGTGCTTTGGACGGGAGTGCTTTGGACCGGAGTGCTTTGGACCGGAGAGCTTGGACCGGAGTGCTTTGGACCGAAGTGCTTTCGACCTGAGTGCTTTCCACCAGAGTGCTTTCGACCGGAGTGCTTTCAACTGGCGTGCTTTCGACCAGAGTGCTTTGGACTGGTGTGCTTTTGACCGGAGTGCTTTCGACTGGTGTGCTTTCGACCGGAGTGCTCTCAACCGAGGTGCTTTCGACTGGAGTACTTTTGACCAGTGCTTTTGATCGGAGTGCTTTTGACTGGTGTGTTATCGACCGGAGTGCTTTCCACCAGAGTGCTTTCCACCCGAGTGCTTTCGACCGGAGAGAGTTCGACCGAAGAGCTTTCAACTGGTGTGCTTTCGACCGGAGTGCTTTCGACCGGAGTGCTTTCGACCGGAGTGCTTTGGACTGGTGTGCTTTCGACCGGAGTGCTTTCGACTGGTGTGCTTTCGACTGGAGTTTTTTCGACCGAGGTGCTTTCGACTGGAGTGCTTTCGACCGAAGTGCTTTTGATCGGAGTGCTTTCGACTGGTGTGCTATCGACCGGAGTGCTTTCAACCGGAGTGCTTTCGACCGGAGAGCGTTCGACCGGAGTGCTTTCGACTGGTGTGCTTTTGACCGGAGTGCTTTCGACTGGAGTGCTTTCGACAGGAGTGCTTTCGACCGGAGTGCTTTCGACCGGAGAGCTTTTAACCGGTGTGCTTTCGGCCAAACACACCACCAACAGCCGTTGATCGTCTGTCACCTCCACAAACGACCGTTGGATTGCCACTCACCTCCACTGACCGCCGTTGGATGTTGAGGTCGTCCAGCTGCTGCTTCGGTGCGCATGAAGAGGTTGAGCTTCTTGGGCAGCGCCACTAGCTGCTGCAAGGGGAGAGTCACTACCTCTCCCTTGCACCTCCTCCCTGATGTAGCCCCCATCCCCACAACCACCAAGGGCCGACGGATCGCGACTCACCTCCACCGACGGCCGTTGGATGTCGAGGTCATCCATCCTGAGCTCGGTGCGCACGAAGAGGTTGAGCTTCTTGGGCAGCGCCACCTGCTGCGGGTACACGAAGAGCAAGTGCACCAGGCGCGTGAAGGGCTCCGCGCGCACCATGTCAGTGAAGTCAATGGCCTGGAACTGGGGAGGGGAGGGAGATGGGGAGGAGGAGAAGAAATAGGTTAGGCACCTGCTGCGGGTACACGAAGAGCAGGTGCACCAGGCGCGTGAAGGGCTCCGCGCGGACCATGTCCGTGAAGTCAATGGCCTGGAACTGGGGAGGGGAGGGAGATGGGGGGGGAGATCGGGGGAGGAGGGGGCAGAAAGAGGTTAGGCACCTGCTGTGGGTACACGAAGAGCAGGTACACGAAGAGCAGGTACAAAAAGAGCAGGTGCTCCGCCTGCACCATGTTCGTGAAGTCAACGGCCTGGAACTGGGGATCGTGTGCAGGGGACGAGAGAGGGGACAGGGGAGAGGATCAGAAAGAGGCTGCAGGCGCCTGCTGCAGGTGCACGAACAGCAAGTGCACCAGGCGCATGAAGGGCTCCGCTCTAATCCAGTGAAGTCAATGGCCCGGAACCAGTGGGGAGAAAGGGAACAGGGGGGGGGAGGGGAGGAGAAGAGAAGAGGGGAGAAGGGGGGGGGAGGGGAGGAGAAGAGAAGAGGGGAGAAGGGGGGGGGAGGGGAGGAGAAGAGAAGAGGGGAGAAGGGGGGGGAGGGGAGGAGAAGAGAAGAGGGGAGAAGGGGGGGGAGGGGAGGAGAAGAGAAGAGGGGAGAAGGGGGGGGAGGGGAGCAGAAGAGAAGAGGGGAGAAGGGGGGGGGAGGGGAGGAGAAGCGAAGAAGGGAGAGGGGGGGGAGGGGAGGAGAAGAGAAGAGGGGAGAGGGGGGGGGAGGGGAGGAGAAGAGAAGAGGGGAGAAAGAAAGGAGGAAGCAAGGTGAATCTATACGAGACTAGTAGAGCAGTCTAAGAAACACAAGGTACTTCCTCCAGAAAGAAAAGCAGAAAACCAGGATTGCACAATAGGAGACATCCAAAAGCCACTTACCCCTGAGAGGACAGGCTCCAAGGAACCATAACAACTTCGTCCAAATATGAACTCATGGGGGGTCCTGCACTGCAAGCACACAGGCACGCCCGGTTCACCCCCTCCAAGAGATTTCAAGGAGAGGAGATTCCCAAGTCAAGGCACTTACTCCTGAGAGGAATCTCGACACCAATAAGCTCCGTGGCACCCTGGCGACATCGTCCAAGTCGGAACTCATGGAGTCCTGCGAGCGCACCCGGTTCACCCCCCTCTGCAAGGCGAATCCAACGAGAGGAGATTCACAAGCCAAGGCACTTACCCCGGAGAGGAATCTGGACACAGACAGGCTGCGTGGCACCATGGCGACATCGTCCAAGTCGGAACTCATGGAGTCCTGCGAGCGCGCCCGGTTCACCCCCCGCCCCGACGAGTTGAGCGACTGGGGAGTCACACTCCCCCCTGCCCCGCCTGCCCCTCCCCCTGCTGGGCCCGGTAACCGCTCCACCTCAAAATGCATGGAGACGCGCACCGGCTTCTGCGATTTCTTCTTGGGGTCCTGGGGGCAGTGAGTGAAGGGAGTCAGGGGGAGTTGAGATACCTGGGAGCCACACTCCCCCCTGCCCCGCTTGCCCCTCCCCCTGCCGGGCCCGGTAACCGCTCCACCTCAAAGTGCATGGAGACGCGCACCGGCTTCTGTGATTTCTTCTTGGGGTCCTGGGGGCAGTGAGTGAAGGGAGTCAGGGGGAGTTGAGATACCTGGGAGCCACACTCCCCCCTGCCCCGCCTGTCCCTCCCCCTGCTGGGCCCGGTAACTGCTCCACCTCAAAATGCATGGAGACGCGCACCGGCTTCTGCGATTTCTTCTTGGGGTCCTGGGGGTAGTGATTGAAGGGAGTCAGGGGGAGTTGAGAGACCTGGGAGACACACTCCCCCCTGCCCCGCCTGCCCCTCCCCCTGCCAGGCCCGGTAACCGCTCCACCTCAAAGTGCATGGAGACGCGCACCGGCTTCTTTGATTTCTTCTTGGGGTCCTGGGGGTCGTGAGTGAGGGGAGACAGGGGGATTTGAGGGACGATCTGACTTTTGAGTCGACTCAAAATGTTTCTTCTTGGGGTTCTGGGGGTAGTGAGTGAAGGGAGAGGAGAGAGTTGAGAGACCTGGGCTGGGCGTCACACACACCGCTGCCCGCTGCTGCTCCTCCTACCCCTCCCCCTACCGGGCCCGGTCCCTCCAGGTCAAAAGTGGTCTCCCCTGCTGCGCACTGGCTACTGTGCTTTCGTCTTGGGATCCTGGGGGGGTTGCGGAGTTGCCTGGTTGGGGAGGGGGAGAGAAAGAATGAATTAAGACCGAGTGAGTGAGGACGTGGGATGTTCAAAGGAGGGCTGAACTGTATGGGGAGCAGAAGAACGAAGCAAAGGAAGCGGAAAACAGAACAGAAGGATTCAGGGAGCTCTCACCAGCAGCTGGTCGGCGGTGTAGCACTCCTTGGCGCAGCTTACACCGTATCATGGAAGGCCTGGTGACTCACCAGCAGTTGGTCGTCAGTGTAGCACTCCTTGGCGCGATTCAAGCTGGGGATATCAATCTGCACCGGCGGCCCCCCCAGCTCATAAGCCGGCACGCGCATCCCATTGCTGTCCACCACCGGACTCGTCCCAGACCCCGGCGTCCCCCCCCCTCCTTCCACGCCCAACACGCCCCCTCCCCCCCCAAGGCTTCCTGAGGACCCTACGCCTGAAATGCCCCCGCCTGCTGCCCCGAAGCCCCCCACCCCGCCGGTGACGGAGGAGTCAAAGAGGGGAATGGTGATCCACGCCAAGGGCTCCCGGAAGGGCATCACCTGCGCCCACTCCGACAGACGTGCTGCCTCCTTGTCCGTCAGGGTGGGCTGGAAGGGGGGAGTGGGGGGAGGAGATTGGGGGGTGGGAATTTGAGGGGTGATAGTAGGGAGAGGGGGGTGGTGATCCACAGGAGGGGGGTGGATCCCGGAAGGCCACGACCTGCGCCCACTCGGACAGACGTGCTGCCTCCTTGTCCGTCAGGGTGGGCTGGGGGGGGAGGGTGGGGGAGACATGGGGGAGGACGGTGGGGGGGGGGGTTTGAGGGAAGATATTAGGGAGAGGAAGATGGTGATCCAGGCGAAGGGCTCGAAGGGTATGGCCTGCCCCCACTCGGACAGACGTGCTGCCTCCTTGTCGGTTAGAGTGGTCTGGAGGGGGAGAGATGGGGGAGAGATGGGGTGGGAATCTCAGGGGTGATAGTAGGGAGAGGGGGAGGGTGATCCAGACGAAGCGCTCGCTGAAGGGCATGGAAGGGGAGCGGGTGGGGGAGAGAACAAGGTGAGAGAGGCAGAGAAGAGTAAGGTGGGGTCTCCAGCTGCACCAGCAGGCAGGCACCACCAACTCCTCGTCCACAGAGAAAATGGCGCGCTTGCTGGGGGATGTGCTCTCAAACGGATGCATGGAAAGGATGTCAGGCATGGCTAGAGGGGGTGGCTAGAGGGGGTGGCTAGAGGGGGTGGCTAGAGGGGGTGGCTAGAGGGGTGGCTAGAGGGGGTGGCTAGAGGGGGTGGCTAGAGGGGGTGACTTGAGGGGGTGGCTTGAGGGGGTGACTTGAGGGGGTGACTTGAGGGGCCTCAACACCCACTCACCGGGTCTTTGCGAGTGTACACAGCCGGCTTGATCCCATTCACGCTCTCTTCACTGGCCGCCTTCTCCAGCTGCACCAGCAGGCACAGCGCCGCTGACTCCTTGTCAACTGAGAAGATGGCGCGAGTGTCGGGGGACGTGCTCTCCCCGTCCCACTGCGGTGGCAGAAACTGGAAGTGGAAGTCCTCCGACGCCTTCTCCCGCCGCTCCGCGTGGTACAGGCACATCGTGCCGCACACCGGCTCCACCAGGCCCGCCTGCACGTTCAGCCCCAGAATCCGCACCGAGAAGCGGGTGCCTCTGGGGGGGCGGCAGGGGGGGGTGGGAGGGGGTGGGGAAAGGATGGTCCTCTGACACCTTCTCCCGCCACTCCGCGTGGTACAGGCACAGCGTGCCGCACACCGGCTCCACCAGGCCCGCCTGCACGTTCAGCCCCAGAGTCCGCACCGAGGATGCATGGGAAGCAGGTGCGGTGCAAGGAAGGATGCATGGGAAGCAGGTGCGGTGCAAGGAAGGATGCATGGGGAGCAGGTGCGGTGCAAGGAAGGATGCATGGGGAGCAGGTGCGGTGCAAGGAAGGATGCATGGGGAGCAGGTGACATACACAGAGGGCGAGGTGATGGGTCTGATGGGCAGGCGGTGGCCGATGACAGCAGCGCGCTCCGAGTCCCAGTTGAAGAGCGGGTCGTACGCCATTATGGTGGATCCGCCGTAGTGCTGCTCGTCGCGAGCCATGCAACAACAATGCCACGCCATGCCATGCAAACCATGCCATCCCATACCACCATGCCACGCCATGCCATGCACATCAGGCAAGACCATGCCGTGCACACCAAGCAACGCCATGACAGAAGAGTTGAGGGGGGGGGTGGGCTAGGAGGCAAGAGAGCCTTGATCAACTGGCACAGCACAGCAGTGCCCAATTGAATCACTCAGAGAGCTTCCGTGAGCACAAGAAGGTAAGGTAGCAGGCTGTGTTAGCCTGAGTGCCTCCAGTTCCTCCACCCAGCAGTGCGCGCTTACCTCGTCCATGGACCTATCCCCGACATAGGGATCCTCGTATTCCTCCTCCCCTCCATTCTGCCTGTAGGTCCCCCCTGTGGAGCAGGGAAACAGATAGCAGGAGGAAGAAAGCAGAACAGGGGTGGACGGAGTGGACAGGGTTACAACTTACAGGTGAGCAACATGGTAAGGTAAGAACCTTCAAGCTGCATTTAACCCCCTTTCCCCCCTGCTTAGGACCCAGCTACCCGCATCTTTGTAGGCTTCTGAAACTCACCCGGAGGGGGATCGCCAGGGTTGGAGGGGAAGACTTGCTTGGCGAAGGTGAGGTGGGGCTCGCAGATGAAGGTGCCGTACTTGTTCTCTATGTGCACGAAATCCGCGTTCACGCAAAAGTCCAACTCGCGCAAGTGGGGCACCTCCTCCGCCTCCGGCAGAATCTAGAGGGTGGGGGAGGAGCAGGGGGGGGGGAACAGGAAAAATGGGGGGGAGGGGAAGAGAGGGGGGAAGGTGGAGATGGGGATACGAGTTCACGAGGAGGGGAAAACGGAAGCGAAGGCTCGCACTTGGAAAGGCAAGAGGAAAATCGACTAGGTTTTTTTTCCTAGTTTATAAGGGTCAGCTCTCTCTCTATCCCCGCGGAACTTTGAAATACTTCTAAACCGGCTGTATTCCGCGTGCGATCGTGGCGGTCAGTAAAGGGCGAACTGACTCCTCCTCGCTTACAAGGGCCAAGAATCCGAAATAGCACATAATGAAAACCGCATTTCCCAACTTTCTAGAAACCGCGTTATAGTCAAGCTAAGGTGGCACATTAGAGGTGTCTCGCTCAGTTCACACAGGCGGTGCATTTCATTGCGAGTGGCCTACCGTCTAAGGTATCCACGTTGGACCCCTGTCTAGTTGTCGGAGGCCGCTCTTGAGTCGATTCAAAGGCCACAAGGCAGGGAGCTCACTGCTCTGCCTTAGACGGTAACCTAGTAATCCACATTTCATCATTAAGAATCAAGCTGACTCACCATGGAGTCCAGGTTGGACCCCTGTCCAAGAGTCGGAGGCCGCGGAACATACTTAATCTCCAGCAGACTCATGGCTGCTCGTGATTCAGGCCCCTCTGAGGGGCCTGCTCGTTACCCTGACTGGGAACGCACTACTGACGCATGAGGACTTATCGACGGCTACGATCGACGGCTACGATCGACGGCTACGATGCCTCTCTAGCTCCTCCATTTCGCCCTTTAGGTTTAAGTCCGAGATCACTGGCAGTATGGGAGACTGAGGATCGCGAGGCGAAACACTACGAGGCCACTACCTAGCCGATCAAAGACGACCGAAAAAACAATGCAAAACCTAGCCGAAGGCAATGCCGACGAGACTGGAGAGTTCCGACGCGACTGATAGGCCGACGAAAATACCGCGATGGAGAATTGACTACGACTGTCGCAGGACTGTTCGGAATCGTCACAAGAGCGCATTGTACGGCTTGCTAGGAGGCGTCGTCATAAGGTAGTGGCCAACCTAACAACTCACTGGCTTGTTAGAAACGTCTTGAACACCACCACTATCCAACCTCTTCTCTGGTACAATGCGCTTCATTCGGATGAAGTGCGATTCAGTACGGTGAAGCATCCAAACTACAGCCATCAGTAGGGCTCTGAGGGAGACCGAACCTCTATCCGCGTTCCCTCGAGAATTTCGTGGTCTGGAGCGATCAGGCTGGTTCGGGAACTCTTGGGACCTCCATTGCCGCCGCCGAAGCTGCGAAACGGCCAAACAAGCAGAGGTTGGAGCAGTGTTTTCGAACACTCCAAAAAATAGACAAGTTGATTATGATGTACACAAGAAGTGAAGTTTGAGTGACTAAGAAATCTTAAAACAACTAGTGACCATGGAATGGAAGTAGAGTTGAGCAACAAAATCTCGACTAGCCCACATCCCCCGGACTATCGAACCATTCAACGGATCAGGGTTGCTTGTCAACAGTTGTATATTGGTTAAGTGGTTCCTCCAAAGACCCAAGCTCTGTGGCTTGAAACATGGATGGGAGTCTTGTCTTGTAGCATTGCTTCACTGATTGGTCAGTCCAAGGGGTTTTATTGATTGGTTAGTCCCCAGGAGTTCCACTGATTGGCTAGTCCTACAAGCTCACTCCAAATTGATCATCATTCTCTAGTTAGTCGTTTCCAAAAAACTTGCTGCTGACCCTGCTTTTCCGCTTCAGCTCCTCTCAACTAGTGCTGTATCTGCAGATGCTGGAGGTACCGACCCTTGAACTGACGCCACATCATCTCCTGCTGCTCCTGCGCCTCCCTTTCCTGCCCTTGCCGCTTCTGATTGACCATCAGGCGCCAAGTCACCATCACCAGACACCTTCCCATCACCACCTCCTTCCCCCTCACCATCTCCCACCTGCTTCTCCCCTTCACCCACCTCACCTTCTCTAATCTCCCCATCCCCACTCCGCCCCTCCCCCACCTCCTGCCCCTCACCCGCACTACTAGCATCACCATCAGCATCAGCAGCAGCAGCAGGAGGGGCGGGGGGCATGGAGGCGAGAATGAGTTGCCTCACAGGCTCGCATGCCACCTGAGTGGATACGAGGGTGGTTGGAGAGCCGTAGCAGCGGGAGAAGCACAGAGCCACATAGGGGCACACCACCTGCAAGGGAGGATGGGGGAAGAGGGGAGGGGGGTGGGCGGGAGGTGGAGAAGGGCGGGGGGAAGGGGGGTCTGGGGGAGTTTTGAGAGATTGAGAGAATGTTGAGCGGGTGCAGTGATGACTGCCAAATGGGTCTGCATGTTGCTTGGTTGGCAAAAGAGGGGCACGGCCAGGTGAGCAGAGAACTACCATCCACTCACACACGCACTCAAGCACGCTTACCTCTACGAAAGCCCGGCACGTGCCAATAAAGAGTGCAGCCTCAGAGTCCTTGACTATGTGCGTGTGGCTGTAGCGAGCCAGAGACGCAGCCACTACAGCCAGCGCTCTTTCCACCTCCCATGCCAGCTGCTGCTTGAGAGACGACGGCACGCAGTGACGCAACTCGTTGAGTGCGGCAAGAATGCCTGCTCATGAGGGACGGAGCGGGAGGAGGGGGAGGAGGGGGGAGGGGGACAGGACAACGGGGGGGAAGGGAAGGAGTTGCAGCTTGAGAGACGATGGGGTGCACTGCCGCAGCTCATTGAGTGCTGCAAGAATGCCTGTTTATGCGGGGGGAGAGGGGGGAGGAAAGGGGGGAGGGGGGGGGATTGTGAATCATAGAATGCTACTGGTATGCCTGCTCTTGAGGGGGGAAGGCGGAAAGAATAGCAGTTCGCCCCACTATAGCTAAAAACATCTGCCAACGCGTCGAATGCTACTAATGTATCAGCACTGCTCCATCCCCCTGGCCTGGCACCCACCGTTCACAAAGGCAGCGAGCGGCGGATGCTCCATGAGCGAATAGGGAGGCGCCACGTCATCAAGGGAGTCACCCCCCAGGCCCATGCCCATGCGAGCAGCAGAGCCCATGGATGGCAGCGGCACCCATCTGTGCGTGTCCAACACGTGCTGGGAGAGGGGGAGAAGGGGGGGGGAGAGGGAGAGGGGAGGGCGAGATGGGGAAGGGAGAAGGGCCACAACGACCCTAAGCCATGCGCGCAGCAGAGCCATGGATGGCAGCGGCACCCATCCGTGCGTGTCCAACACATGCTGGGGAAGGAGAGGGGGGGAGAGGGAGGGAGAGGAAGAGGGAACGAGAGGACGTCACGTCAGCGAGCTTTGTGACATTCAGTGAGCGCAACACATTCACCAGGGTGCGGCGATGCATGCACCAGACCAGGGGGTGGGGGGCTGCCAGGGGGGTTGCGATGGGGGCTGCGAGGGTGTCTTAGACATGGTGAGCGAATACCAAGAAAGAGTGACTACGTTGCAATCTGGCTTACATGGAATGAGTCTACTGCACAGGAGACGTTGCGCTGGAACATTCGGAGCACACAGCTGGGAGGGACGCATGGGAGGGACGCATGGGAGGGACGCATGGGAAGGACGCATGGGAAGGACGCATGGGAGGGACGCATGGGAAGGACGCATGGGAGGGACGCATGGGAAGGACGCATGGGAAGGACGCATGGGAGGGACGCATGGGAAGGACGCATGGGAGGGACGCATGGGAAGGACGCATGGGAAGGACGCATGGGAAGGACGCATGGGAAGGACGCATGGGAGGGACGCATGGGAAGGACGCATGGGAAGGACGCATGGGAAGGACGCATGGGAAGGACGCATGGAAGGGATGCATGGGAGGGACGCATGGGAGAAAAGTGGGAGTGGTAAGAGCGTTGAGCCAATGATGCTGATGATTATGAACGCGACTATATCAGATGAATCAACAGCAACACAAGGAGCAATAATTGCAATGGAAGGCAATAGCAGCACTAGTAGAGCATGGGAAGCCGCATGACCAGCCGCATGACCAGCCGCACGACCAGCTGCATGACCAGCCGCATGACCAGCCGCACGACCAGTCGCACGACCAGCCGCACGACCAGCCGCACGACCAGCCGCATGAACAGCCGCACGACCAGCCGCACGACCAGCCGCACCACCAGCCGCATGAACAGCCGCACGACCAGCCGCACGACCAGCCGCACGACCAGCCGCACGACCAGCCGCACGACCAGCCCCCACCCCGACCAGCCGCACGACCAGCCGCACGACCAGCCGCACGACCAGCCCACCCGCACGACCAGCCGCACGACCACCGCACGACCAGCCGCACGACCAGCCGCACGACCAGCCGCACGACCAGCCGCACGACCAGCCGCACGACCAGCCGCACGACCAGCCGCACGACCAGCCGCACGACCAGCCGCACGACCAGCCGCACGACCAGCCGCACGACCAGCCGCACGACCAGCCGCACGACCAGCCGCACGACCAGCCGCACGACCAGCCGCACGACCAGCCGCACGACCAGCCGCACGACCAGCCGCACGACCAGCCGCACGACCAGCCCCGCACGACCAGCCGCACGACCACCCAGCCCGCACGACCAGCCGCACGACCCAGCCGCACGACCAGCCGCACGACCAGCCGCACGACCAGCCGCACGACCAGCCGCACGACCAGCCGCACGACCAGCCGCACGACCAGCCGCACGACCAGCCGCACGACCAGCCGCACGACCAGCCGCACGACCAGCCGCACGACCAGCCGCACGACCAGCCGCACGACCAGCCGCACGACCAGCCGCACGACCAGCCGCACGACCAGCCCCCCCCGCACGACCAGCCGCACGACCAGCCGCACGACCAGCCGCACGACCAGCCGCACGACCAGCCGCACGACCAGCCGCACGACCAGCCGCACGACCAGCCGCACGACCAGCCGCACGACCAGCCGCACGACCAGCCGCACGAGAGCCTCACGAGAGCCTCACGATTCAAAGAGGGGCGGCAGGAGACCTCTGAGATCCAGCCCCACCCGGCCAAGACTCATGCCACAGTACTGCCAGGGAGCAAGGGAACAAGGGGCAAGGGGCAAGGAGCAAGGAGCAAGGGGCAAGGGGCAAGGGGCAAGGGGCAAGGGGCAAGGGCCAAGGGGCAAGGGGCAAGGGGCAAGGGGCAAAGGGGCAAGGGGCCAGGGGCAAGGGGCAAGGGGCAAGGGAGGCAAGGGCCAGGGAGTGGGGAGAAAGCAGTGAGGGGAAATGTGTGGGGAGGAGGGAACAATCGCAGGCAACACTGGGTCTTCAATGCGTGTGTGTGCCTACCGTGCAGTCAGCATTTGGACATACATCAGGTCTAGCATGCACCATACTTACATGCTGCATGCACCACACGCAACCATGCCACATGTGAAACATGCTGCACGTTGCCCCATGTCTCCCCATAACCCATGTCTCCCCATACCCCATGTCTCCCCATACCCCATGTCTCCCCATAACCCATGTCTCCCCATACCCCATGTCTCCCCATACCCCATGTCTCACCATGCAATGTTCTAGCACGCTGGCCAACGACCCCCCATCCTCTATCCTCGGCAGGTGCCGTGCCAGCGCTGCCAAATACACTGCCACTCGATGCATGGCCCAACCATACACCAGCCCCCCATCGCCCCCGCGCCCCCACCCCCCACCCAGCCAAAACCGCCCCGCCTCCCCCCCTGCCCTTCCCGTACTTCCCCAACACTCCCCCACTGCTCCCCCTGCCCCTCCCCCTGGCGCTCCTCCCCCTGTGGCTTTCTCTCCCAGCAGCGCAGCGAGTGCAGCCGAATCCTCTTCCAGGTTCGATGAATCTCCCGGTGAGGCGGAAGAGGGAGAGTCGTGGGCGAAGATGGCGCGGTACTGCGTGGCGACGTCGAAGAGGTGCACGCGGTGGCAGTCCGTGAGGCGCTTCAGGTAGTCGTAGGGCGAGGAAGGGTCCAGCTCAGACACCACCTCCCCAGCCACGCCTCCCTGCACCGCAGGAACTGGAGAGGGGGGGAGGGCAGGGGGGAGGGGGGACAGGTGGGGAGAGCAAGGGCAGGGGGCCGAAGGCGACCCTTGAGTCAGCTCAAAAGGAGGAGGGGGAGTCGTGGGCGAAGATGGTGTGGTACTGCGTGGCGACGTCGAAGAGGTGCACGCGGTGGCAGTCCGTGAGGCGCTTCAGGTAGTCGTAGGGCGAGGAAGGGTCCAGCTCAGACACCACCTCCCCCAGTCATGCCTCCCTACACCGCAGGAACTGGGGCGAACGGGGGGTTACGGGGGGGGGGAGGGAAGGGGGGGTGGGGGAGGGGGTGGGGTGGGGGGGGATAAAGGGCAGAAGGCCGAAGGTGACTCTTGTGTTGACTCAAAAGGAGGAGGGGGAGTCATGGGCGAAGATGGCGCGGTACTGCGTGGCAACGTCCAAGAGATGCACGCGGTGGCAGTCCGTGAGGCGCTTCAGGTAGTCGTAGGGCGAGGAAGGGTCCAGCTCAGGCACCACCTCCCCCAGCCACGCCTCCTTGCACAGCAGGAACTGGGTCGGGGGAGTAGGGGGGGGGAGAGCGAAGGGGAGGGAAGGGAGGACAAGAGGGAAAGGGAGAAGCGGGAGGAGGAGATGGGCAGAAGGGCAAAGAGGGAGGGAAGGGGGATAGGGAAGTGCGTGGGAGAGGGAAGATCAGGGGCTATGTTGGAAAACAAGCAGATTTGGTTTTGCGTTTTGCGTTTATACGCGAGTAAAATTCGTACACTGCGTTTTGGGTGGAGATTCGCCGAAAAACGCACGGGCTGACCGCGGAAAAAAGTTTTCCCGCGACAGGTCGCGACTAGGCGAAAAGAAAAAGGGTTTCGCACATCGCCAATTCAACTGCGCGGAATTGGGGGCTGACGACAAAAGCGGCACATCGCAAACTCGAATTGAGTTTGTGGCTTGAACTCCCAACCCCAAAAGGCTTCCCCACCGCATTCAATCTCACATCACCTCCCTTTCCCAACCTTTCTGCTTTATGACGATTGACGACTCACCAGAGTCCTGACGCAGAGGAGCAGCACCTAACCTAATTCCGCATCGTAACTCTCTAGCAAAGCTCCCTCCCTTAGTTCTCACGCCGTTGTTCTTAGCTCGCCAGGAGAAATGTTGACCCGTTCCTACCACTCCTCCTAGCGCGATAAATTTTCCTGCCTGCAATATTTTTTCCCCTGCCCGAACCTCCGTATTTCGTGCGTACCGCATACCCCCTTTCCAAGCATATTGCGTATAAACGCTTACGTATATACGCTGGCATACAAAACGCAATACGCGTATTTTCCAACATAGATCAGGGGGTGGGACAATGGGGTGGGAGAGATGGCAGAATAAAGAAGACTGTGGCAATGTCAAGGTTCACCTGCGCAACAGCAAGCTCACCTGCAGTCTGCTGCTCAAAGCTCACCTGCAGTCTGCTGCTCAAAACCCACCTGCAGTCGCATTTCTGTTTCTGAGAATACTGCCAATCGCCGGAGGTAGCCGATCACACGCAGACACTCGGGCAGCTGCAGAGAGTGCACGATGGGGGGCAGGGAGCAAGCCAAGGGCAGACAGGGGAAACTGAAAAAACAAAAAAAAACAAAAAACAAAAAAAACAAAAAAAACAAAAACAAAAAAACGAGAGAAAAGCAACAAAAAACACATCGTATTGCCGGTCCAAATAGTAGGGCAGCTAGTGCGGTTGTTGCATGATTTCTTTAGTGCTTTCCTGGTGAGGCCTTCTCACCTGGATGTTGGATCTCAGTCTGAGCAGCAGCTGCGACAGCATGGCCTGTGTGGTGTGCCGCACCTCCACTGCCAGCTGCTGGATCACCGGCAGCCTGGGGAGTGAGGGGTAGGCAAGAGAGACGGAGGGGAGGGGAGGGGAGGGGAGAGGGGAGGGGAGAGCATGTACTCTTGGTGTGCCGCACCTCCATTGCCAGCTGCTAGATCACCGGCAGCCTGGGGTGGTGCGTGATGGGTGGGCGCCGAAAACGGGAGGGGGGAAGGAGGGAGGGGGCGACTGAGTGGGGGAGGTGGGGGGGGGGGCGAGAGAGTAGACTAAATTTGCCACTTCTTAAATTCACCAGTGTGCTACCTACGAGGCATGCACGATTCTAGACGTATCTGGATCCACTTCACCTCCAAAACGGCTTCCCTGCGAACCCACCCACCCACCCACGCACTTGGCTTCCCCCGCCCATCCACCCATCTAACTATCCACCCATCCACCTGTCCATCCTCCCACCCACCCACCCGCGCACTTTACTTCCCCCACCCATCCACGCATCTACCCACCCACGCACTTGGCATGCATGGTTGTCAGTTTCGCCACGAATGCTTCCAGATCCAAAGCCTCGTCGTAATTCCCGTTGCGCACACACCTGCACGGGATGGGAGGAGGGGAGGGAGAGCAAAGGAGGGGACGAGCATAGGAGGGGACGAGCAGGGGAGGGGACGAGCAGGGGAGGGGAGGAGCATAGGAGGGGACGAGCATAGGAGGTGGCGGGAGAGGGAGAGTAGGTGGAACAAGGAACCGGGGAAAAGATCGGTGTGCTCATGCATGCATCCTCTCTTCTTTGATCCCGACATACATGGTTTGGTTTGATTGATCCATGGTCGCATTCACAGTCTAATTCATCCCTCAACTTAATCACACACCAGACACAGATGGAAGCTGCAGCTCCGACGAAAACGCAGCAACTGTTGGTAAGTCCATCGGGCACTCACACGTCCATGAGCCATGCATGAGCCATGGCGCTCACGTGTCCATGAACCATGCATGAGCCATGGCACTCACGTGTCCATGAGCTGCGGGATCTCTAGCAGGTCCATGAGCGTGGGGTGGGTGGCAAGCATCGTCTTGTTCAGCCGCCTCTTCTCCACCACCCCCTGCGCCTCCTCCAGGAACTCGTTGCACCCCGTCGTGAGCTTTGGGATCTCCGACACCTGATGCCAGCCCCGGGAGGGGAGGACTAGATTGTTCCTATTCTCATGCACCAAGGTAAGAGCAGAGGGATTCCCGACGCCTGATGCCACAACCAGGAGGGAAGGACTGAGGTCATTTGAGATTCAGGCAATGACAACGAGAACGGTGCGGCAATGACCAAGACAATGACGATGCGCTGTGGTGCCAGGCGTGCTGAGATTTATATGAAACACGCAATGTCAGTCAGGCTGTTGCGCCTCACCAGCAACCCCCGGGTGTTGGTCGATGGAGGCGATCTCCTCGGGGATGTCACATCTCAGGCGTGTTCACAATAACATTGGAATGTCAGACTTGACGCCCACAGTTGCACTGATGTGATGATCAGCATGCAATATCATTCGGACTCCCGCCTCTCACCAGCGAGTCCTGGTGTCTTTTGAGTCAATTCGAAATCTCACCAGCGATCCCAGGTGTTGGTCGATGGAGGCAATCTCCCGGTGAATGGACCCGATGGCATCAGCGGCGGTGATGAACGCGCGGTAATGCGCCACCGCCACCTCCTGCATCTGCCGCTGCACCCTCTCCGCATCGGAGCGCAGCAGCTCCGGCTCCTGGCGCCACAAGAGAGGGGAACAAGGGGGCGATGCTGCTTTCAGTACGTCTAAGAAACCCTCCTGCATCTGCCAGATTGCCATGTCTGGTAGTCGTGGACTAGCAGAGACAAGAATCAGGTGTTGCATCAGATATTGCATCAGGTGTTGCATCAGATGCTGATTCTGACATTTCTGACTGGTCTGACAGGAAATTGCATCAGGCATCCACCAGAATGCAACAGAAGGTTAAGGGAGAGCCATGAAATCAAATAAATTTAATCATCATCGCCTTTCCTGTGATATTTGACGTTCCTCGAGAGCTGGTCCTGAAGCTTTGTTTCCTTGCATCATGAACCATAGTTCGCCCCAATGTCCATCTGAATCTGTCGCACCTTGTTTAGTCGATCTAGGCTGTACGATAGCAGCTCTGACAGGTACGCATCTTGAAGCTCCTCTAACCCTACTGAACCGCCAGCTCCTGAGCCTTGGTTCATGAAGGTATCCCCTAAAAGTTGGCTCGTGGGGGTCGTGGGCGCGAAGCTCCGCGGAGATGCCGCGGGGAAGTGTCCGCGCGGGGAAGCCATGGACGCGAACGTGCGCGGAGATAACGCTGCTATGGCGAAGCCTCCTTCGGAAGCCTGCGGAGGAAAATATGCGAGTCAAGTTCGATAGACTGCTGCAGAGCACGAAAGGAACACAGAACTACCAGCCTGCTAGAATGGAAAGGTATCCTCTAGACTGGAGGGCCTGCAGTGAACATATCCGCTAAGAGGAACACCACGATCTGTAAGGAGAATGCTCTATATTCTTCCTTAGTATTTCCGTTTCTTGTATATACAGTGTTAAAGAATGTAAGAAAAACCAGTACAGTACCTGTGGGCAGAAGATTGTTTGGGCAAGTTGTTTTTACTCCAAACAATGCGATGCCGAAGAGTTTCAATCTCCAATCACAGCAGAGATTTACGCCGGGAGATCGGGGGTGTCAGGGGAACGAGAACTTCCCTCCCAGCACAAGTTCGCGTGAGGGAATCGCCTTCTTGCTTTTGGTTGGGCCTTTTCTCCCTCCAAGCATCAAGGGTGCTGCTGGGGCACCTTAGGCCTTGGGAATTGCGTGAGGGTGTTCGCGGGAACTACGCTGATTAGTTGACAAAGCAGTCGCCTCGGTAGCTTGTGGTCCCCAAACCACGCACCAGACAGACATGCTTGGTTCACATTGGCTTGTTCTCGAACGTGGATGGGCTCGCAGAAATTATTTGTTCACATCCCCGAAGCAATGCCCCAAAAAGGGCTTTCCCTGATTGAGGCACCCAATCAGAAAACCCTGTGCTTCTCCCGAAGCTGTTCTTCCCGTGTTATGGCCACCCGCCATACCAGCTTCCAGCTACGGGAGTCTCTGTGCTTCCTTGCCTCGGCAAGAATGTGAGTGAGAAATGGCCGCTTCGGGAAGCCAGAAATTGGTCGCCATGGGCAAAACCCGTCAGAAGACACACGGGTACTGTACACTGGCACGTTTGTGCTTGTCGAGCATTTCACGGGGGATATGGAATGGACACCAGGCAAGCTTTGCCTGAAGTGACAAGGCTCACTTTTGCTGTCTCACAATTTGACGACTCCTGCTTCATCAGGCCAAGCCAAAGCTGCTTGAAACTACAGTCACGCATTAGATTGACGGAGCTTACTTTTTGTCTGTAGAGGCCGGCCCTGCAGCCGCTAGGCGGTGCTGGCGTTGATGGCAGTAGATAATATGGATGCGTCTGCTAACCCGGACGCTGCTGTTCCAGAGGAATCCAGCCATTTACAGGACAAAGAGTCTCTAGAGAAGAAAGATGCAGCAGATTCGCATGTTATTGATTCGCAGGGATCCGCTCACTCTTCCCGATCAGGGTTAGTTATTCACGTTATTAGCTTGGATTAGAAACGATGTATCTTTCCATCCGGAACTGGCTGATATGAGTGCTTTCTTACAATGCAGTGGGAAGATATTTATAGGAGGCATTTCGTGGGAAACGAAAACAGGTGCGCTTAATGTCGTGTTTTTTCTCCCCTTCTTCCCTAGTCGTTTTGTTATCGTCCTCTTGTCTCGACTTTACATAAGCGACTTTGACATGCAGAGGACTTGATTGAGCACTTCAAGCAGTATGGGACCATCGTGGATGCGGTTGTCATGAAGGATCGCGCAACGGGCCGCCCACGTGGATTTGGCTTCGTCACTTTTGAGGATCCCGCTGCGTGTGATAAAGTAGTGGAAGATCAGCACGTCATTGGTGGCCGAGCGGTAGGTGGTGGTGTTGGTCCTTAGGCTGACAAACTCTTTTTTACAATGCAGGTTCGTAGGCTGACCAGAATTCGTTTTGGCTCTCCGCGTGTAGGTGGAAGCTAAGAAGTCGGTTCCACAAAATGCTAGTGCAGGAAGGAGTCCGAGGACGAAGAAGATATTCGTTGGGGGCCTTGCTGGCAGCACCACAGAAGGTAACCTGAATGCGCCTCGCTGTCGCCGGTGTTCCCCTCAACAACTTGTTGCAATTGATGGCTGATATTTTCCCTTTTCCCTGCAGAGGAATTTAATGCGTACTTCTCGAATTTCGGGAATGTGGTGGATCGCCAAGTGATGATGGATCATAACACAGGCCGATCTCGCGGGTTTGGCTTCGTCACCTTTGACAATGAACAGTCGGTTGAAAATGTCTTGGCTCAAGGAAAAATGCATCAACTTGGCAACAAACAGGTGAGAGACATACGGATTCTATTAATCGGGCCACGTTTTCCAGCATAGCACGCTTACTAGGGGTTTTCTCCGTTTTTAACCAGCTAACTTGTGGCCTGCTGCCCGACCATTCAGGTCGAGGTGAAGAAAGCGGAGCCCAGAAGAATGGATGCTCCTGGTGGGCATGACAGCTACGGTGTAAGGGGTCGTCGTCATGGCGTAGAGTACAGCTCGGGAGGCTATGGGGCTCCGGGGAGCTACGGAGAAGCCCCTGTGACTGGTTATAGGGGCGACTATGCCTACGGCCCTGCTTATCCAGGCGCTTATGGCGTCCCATATGGCGCAATGTACATGGGAAGCGGCGGATACAGGCCTTACCCTGGCTATGGAGACGCATATGCACAAATCCCTTACAATGCAGAAGGCCAGGGAGGGTATGCAAACAGCCCTTTCAGTGGTGCAGCAGGTGCCAGCGCTTATATTCCTAATGCTGGACCGCCATATGGGGACAGCAATGAAGGATACGGGCCACCAAGCTATTCAGGAGGGTATCCGCCTGTTGGACCTGGTTTGCCTGCAGAATACAGCGGGATGGGGGGAGCATATGCAGGTGGATTTGCTGCATATCCTGTTAGTCCGTATGGGCCGCCACCAGCATCACCAGGGCAAGCGGGTTTCATTGGGGAGAGGGGTGTAATTTTTCCTGGCCCTGGCCAATTCCATCCGTATGGACAGGTATGATTGCGCTTGTCTTGCTGGCCCCTTAGTTTCCTCTACGTGTTGATGCTTATTCATTATTTAAAAAAAAAAATGTTAACTAGTCAGAGGGGCTGCTAGCGCCGACTATGCTTGTTTAAAACTAGATTGTGAGCCTTGCTGTGTGCTCGTTAATACCGTAAGCCTAGTAGTCAATAGTAAAAGCTACATAGAGGCTTGATTGGAAGAGGCTGGATGGAGGGATCTCTAAACTGAATTAACCCTATTACAGTATCAGATATGCCTCTCATCAGACTCGCGCGGAACTGTTCAGTCCAATTATGACGTAACTTGGTTCAATGCGGTTTCAAGCGGTGCCCTGAGAATGATAGATGGCTGCAATGAACAAGCTCTTATCAATACGAGCACACTACACTTCGTAAAAAACTCAGCACAATTCATGAGAACAATTTTCAGCTACGGAGCAGCAATTCATGGTCCATTAAAATGCTGGAGCTCTAGTATACATTGAAACAGGCAGCAAAATTAGTTACCAGCCCTTGTGGACTAGGTACAATATTTGATCCCACTGCATGGTCGATCGAGCTCCCCTCACCACTACTGCGAGCCCCCATCCTTGTCGCCAGTGTGGCATGCCATAGCATGATAGCACATCACCTCACCACCACCACCCCACATCATCTCACCACCTCTCCAAACCACCCGAGGAAGAGGAGGGCAAGGCAAGGGAGTGGCAATGGAGAGGGGGTGAAACTCCCTGGGTGATGGGAGAGCAAGGAAGGCCAAGGGGGCTGAACCCTCCAGGGTAAGGCGAGTGCGGCAAGAGAGGGCGGTTGAATTCCCCAGGTTGAAGCGAGCAAAAGGCAGAAGAGGGGGGTTCCTCTGCCCATTGCTCGCTTCAACCTGGGGGTTTCAGCCCCCCTCCCCCCACCTGCCCTTACCCTGGAGACTTCAACCCCCTTCCCCTTCCATGCCCTCCCCTTACCCAGGAAATCTCACCGCCCCTCCACTGCAACCACCCGGCACCACCACCACCACCAGAAGGGCTGTGAGCTAACCTCAAAACCTGAACCCCTCACTGACGTAGCAAGAGGGGACCAAACCAGAACCGCCGGCCGCACGGTCTGTTGCTGTCCTTTATGCTTTAACGTGCAGGTATTGGGCCCAGGCTTGAGATTAACCCACAACCCCACTCACACCACCACGCCCCCCCCTTCTACCACTCCCAACACCAGCACCAGCACCACCGCCACCACCACTTCCACCACCTCCAGCACCAGCAGCAGCACCCATTGCTGCCTTTCATGAGTTCTTCAAGGGGAACCTGTAGGAGGGGATGGGAGAGAAACGAAGTTAGTCCAACCAGGAAATTATAGTGAAGCACTAGAAACGAGTACAGCTGGATGCGGAAGCACTTCGCCTGGAGTCTGAACCTGATACCTGGGGGGGCCCTGGGTGTGCTACAGGCAGTAGATGCATGAAAAAGGCGAGAAAACGACAGTGAGGGAGTCATGGAGGTGTGCCAATACTTATCTGCAAGCGACGGTCCATGTAGGGGTGGTGCCTTGGTTGGGAGTTAGGTGCTGCTGCCTCAGAACAGAACTTGGTGCCCTTTCCGCACCAGAGGCCGCCAGTGGAAGGGCAGCAGCAGAAAGAGACCGGCAGGTCTTCAGAGAAGGCAGCCAAGACTTGAGAACAAACAACTGAGACGATGAGGAGGGGGAGGGGAACCGGGGGAGTGGGGAGGTTAGGGTCGTTAGAGGGGCAAGAGGAGAACGACGACAGCAGCAAGGGTGATGTGAGCAGCGGGAATGAGAGCAATGGGGATACCAGCTGTAGCACACCCAAGGGGATACCATTCACTTGGAGAAATTTTGCACCTGCAGTGGGAGGAATACCTCATATTTCAGTCTGAACCTGATACCTACCTGGGGACCCTCGGATGTGCGACAGGCAGTTGGGGGCCATGGGAGATGAATGAATAAAGCGAGGAAAAGTTGCTGAAGCAGTGAGGGAGTCATGGAGGTGTGCTGATACTTGTCTGCGAGTGCCGGAGTTGGGTGCTGCTGCCTCAAAACTCAGAACTTGGAGCCAACACTGGAAGGCCGCCAGTGGAAGGGCCCAGCAGCAGCAGGCAGCGAGGTCTTCTGTGTCTTTAGTAGATGAAGGTGATTCCAGCAAGGATCTGAGCGGGGACGGGGGCAGTTGGGTGGGGGTGGGGGGGGGGGGGGGGTGGTAAGCTAGGGCCATCATAGGGGCAACAGGAGGCTGATGCGAGCAGCAAGTGTGTCATGCGTGCATGGATGGAATGAAAGCAAGTCCTCCCAGGGGGGTACCTTATCCGTACCAGGGGATAACCTGGAGCGCCACAGCGTTGACTGGAGCAGTACACCGTTGACTGGAGCACCACAGCGTTGACTGGAACACCACAGCGTTGAATAGAACACCCACGTTGACTGGAACACCACAGCGTTGACTAGAACACCCACGTTGACTTGAACACCCACGTTGACTGGAACACCACAGCTTTGCCTTAAAATAGCAGCGAACTGCCAGGGGGAAGGGGGAAGGGAGGGGGAGGATAAGAAACACAATCAGTCCAAGTGACAACAAAGGAGGATAACGTCAGAAGCTGAAGCTGAAGCAAACAAAGGACGAACGGATGAATGCAAAAATGCAAAGGACAAACGGATGAATGCAAATGAGCCATGATGAAAGCATCGCTGTTGTAGCACACCCTAGAGGGAGGGGGGGAGGGGGGGGGAGGGGGGTGGGGGGGTTACCTTAGGCTTACCATACCAAGGCCGAACCTGTACCAAGGATTGAAGTTTTGCACCGGGGGGGGGGGAGGGGTTGGGGGTGGGGTACTTACCTGCAGTGGGGGATATTCACCCGGTAGTCTGAACCTGAGAGGTGGGGGGGCTAGGGTGTGCTACACGCAGCTAGAGTGGTGTGAGATGCAAGAAAGAATTGAGTGTAAAGAGATACTCAGCCTTGACTGGAGTAGCAGGGGCGCTGACTGCAGCAGCAACCGCGTTCACCGGAGCGCCCGTGTTGTCATGAATGAAACACCCGCGTTGACTGCAACATCCGCGTTGACTGCAACATCCGCGTTGACTGCAACATCCGCGTTGACTGCAACATCCGCGTTGACTGCAACACGCGCGTTGACTGGAGCACCCGCGTTGACTGGAGCAGCAGTGTCGAATGGAGGCGCAGGGATATTGAGTGGAGGCCATTGCGACCTGAGAGGGGAAAAGGGGAACTCAAATTAGTCAAAGGGACAGAAGAATTCAAACTGCGCCATGAAGAAAGAATTGACATGTGCTAATAAGTGAACTTTTACCATAGAGGGCCACTCAGCGCTGGTTGAAGCAGCGAGGACGTTGACTGGAGCAGCAAGGGCGGTCTTCAGCGTCTTCATTTGAATCTGCAAGAAGCGAACATGCAAGAGGAAAAAGGACCCGAAAGAAACGGTTAGTTGCATTGCATGCAAGAATTGAAAAAACGACATACGAAATTGAATATCAGACACTCGAGGCGGGCTATTCACCCCCCCACCTCCCTCGTTTCAACACTTAACCTTTCCGAGGAAGCAAGGTCTTGGCTTGTGAGGAAGCAAGTAGGAGGTGTTGAATTGATGCAGATACTCGTTGACTTGTTGGCTCGTCTTGAAACGTCAGCAGGATCCAAAAGCTCTCACGCAGAAATGGAGAGGTAAACATGCAAAAGCTCGCACGTGGACAAGAGGATGTTAGTACGTGCATAAGCCTTAAAAAGACACGAAAAACGAAAGAAACGACTCTCTAGGCGTGCCTACTCGCCCCCCCGCCTCCCTGGCTTCAACGCTTACCTTCAAGGATTGGTCTTGGAGAAGTAAAGCGGACTTGAGGTGTTGACTCGAAGCAAAAAAGAGTGGCGCGAAAATTGAGAGGGTAAATATGCAAGACAAAAACGAGAAAAAACAAGGTTAGCCTGTGTATAAGTTTGAAAAATGACACGAAATCGGAAAAACACGACTCGCAAGGCGGCTTACTCGCCCCCCCACATCCCTGGTTTCAAAACTTACCCCAAGGTAGTGTCTTCATTGGGAACTTCATTGGCGAAGGCAGTGGAGTTTTTTCGACGACTTGAGCCTCACGATGAGCGAAAGTCGAGAGATGAACATGCAAGACAAGAACGATAAGAAACAATGTCAGTACGTGTGTAGCGGAAAAAAAAGACACGCAAAAAAAAAAAAAAAAAAAAAACGCGACTCTCTATGCGGCCTACTCGCCCCCCCACATCCCTGATTTCGAAGCCTACTTCAGCATCTTGATCCGAAGCAACTTGATTCGAAGCAGAAAGATGTTGATGCGGAAAAAGCGAGAGCCTTGGAAAGGAAAGGAGACTTGATCCGCAGCAGCGATTCCGCGAACTCCTGCAATTAGGACGTTGAGTGGAATGAGTGGTCGGATACTTACAGCATGGAATGTAAACGGCGGCGAAAACGGCAACTTACAGATGAAGCTCCTGATATGAGAAAATAAGCCGGAGTGAAGTAGCAAGAAGCAGCATAAACGCGAACCGAACGCGTTAGAAGATTACGAGATTCTTCGTAAGCATCGTAAGCATGCTCCAAGCACACAGAGCTCCAAGCATGCAGAGCTCGAGGGCCAGCAGAGAAGCTCGTGGTTGGAAAGCTGAACGAGGCGACGACTGGAAACAGGAAATTCCGAAAAGTGGAAACAGAATGAGTTGAGGAAGAGGTGAGCAAATTGGTAATGCTTGGGAAGCGCGTGGCGTGTCAACGGAGGGATGGGCTGAAGGCAGAACGGGAGGCGTGGGGTAAGAATCGAGCCGCGACGGCGACGGACCGCGGACTGTGAAAAATCGGCGTGGAAACGAACGGACGGGGAAAGCAGGGTGATGGCCGGTTGAGCGCCGCCGTCCGCGGCAGCAACCAACCCTAGGTGGTGGATGGGGTTGATATTTGATTGGCAGCGAGAGGGAGTTCCAGCAGCGGCTGTCAGACTGTCGGGCTTCCCCCCCAAGGTTTCGTTCGCCTCCCACCAAACCTAACCCCAACAGCCGCTGCTGGGGGAAGAATACTGGCTGGAGTGCCAACCAAAGCAACTTTGGGGAGGGCCAGCTTTTGCACAAGGTGCTCCCTGGAAAACATTAATTTCCGATATCAGAATCATATTTACCCCAGGTTTGTCATACCAGCGAAACAACATCGCCAAAACAGACAATGGCGCCTGGTTGTCACGTAAGTTATGCAAATGTTTCGCCCCTTCACCTGGTAATTGTTTGGCGGTTCAAAACATTAAACGTTGGAAGGCAGTATTCGTGGTCGGAGAAACCTTTCTTGTCACGACGACGTCGATCAAACCGCGCGGTGACCAGCAAAGAGTGCGTGTCACCGCAGAATTTCGGCGACGCGTAACTGCAAAACTGGGAAACTGGCCAATAAACAATCCGGTGAGGACGGAACACCTCCCGCCGAACTGGCCCGAAGGACTTCCAAATTTCGCGAAAGCCCAATCAACGCCTGGCTCGAGGTCTGTATTGAGCCTGAAATACTCCCGCGTGCTGGATTTTTCCGCCTACATGATATGGCCCGTTAACATAGGATTCGTTTCTCTACTACACTAGAAGGTCAATTCCACAATTATTGTATTTCACTCATGCTCGCCACACAAATATACCTAACACAGGCTACGCTCCATATATACTTTTATGTGTAATTTAAAAATATATTTGCTACATTTCAAGGTTTTAAGCAATACGTACAGCCGTTTTAGTTGACAAAAAAACATACCACATTCTCTACATTCATGCTAGAAAGAAGCGGTGTCCAACATAAAAAAAATGCATTAATATCACATTCATGGAAACGAGAAGATGTTTTTTTCACCCAGCATGTGGTTGTATTGTATCCTATGAGATGGTCTCTAGTGATGGCAATCTTCCATTTTGAAACACGTTGCTTTCTTAGTTGTCATCCGTAAGTAACGAAGTAACTGTTTCTGGATTCAGTGTTTCGCTGTTCTGAGAAACATTTTTGTGGACGACGGTACACGTGGCCCGTATCAACGAAGCATACGACTTTTTGCTGATTGGCCATTAGGCATTTGCCCAATCCATTCAGTAAGGCCTGTCCAATCGGCTGGCAACTGAAATCCCAGTGCGACGTCCAGAAGGGCTTCGGGTGGCTTCGCTGTTGCCGCTGGCCGACGGCCTGCCCATCTGGTAATGTAATCCCACAACCCAACTTTCTCAGTTTGCCAGACTTCGCTCCAGCAAGCTCATCCCACTCACCTAACATCCCTTCAGCAAACCAGAGCAGACGCCATGGCCGCCGTGTCCACCTCCGCTCTTGTTGCCCCCAGCTCCATCAAGAGCTTCGATGGCCTCCGCGCCAGCGCCACCCCCAGCCGGGTGGTGAAGTTCGCTCCCCTGAAGGGCAAGGGTGCCCTTGGTGCCCGCTGTGACTACATTGGCTCCCCCACCAACCTGGTCCGTGTCCCCTTTACATCCTAAGGACTTCGCCCCCCCTCAGATTTTACTGCCATTCCATTCCCCGTATCGTCGTCTTTAGCCGTGTATGGCCTTTGTGTTCAGACTCGACCTGACCTTGTATTGTTGTGCCTCTCCCTGTCTTTGTTCTTCAGATCATGGTGAGCTCCATCGCTCTTTGCTTCGTCGCTGGCCGCTTCGGCCTTGCCCCCTCAGCGAACAGGAAGTCCAGCGCCTTCCTGAAGCTGAGCGAGAGGGAGACTGGCCTTGGCACCAACGACCCTGCTGGCTTCACCGGCACTGATGTGCTTGCTTTCGGAGCTGTCGGCCACGGCATTGGCATCGGCGTCGCCCTTGGCCTTAAGTACCTCGGCGTGATCTAAGCAATTCCAATGCTGTACATTTTCAAGAATAGATAAATGAAAGGCTTTTACAATTCTTAATTTAAACATTTTCCTGCTGCCCAAACGAGCTCATTCCTACAGACGTAGGTAATGAACAAATCCATGCGAGATGTTGGTCATAGTTAAGGATCACTGATATAAAGTGATTTACCCTGTTGGAAAAGCTCCATACGTAGTAAGCCTTCGGTGCTGCAAACACAGTTCAAGAACGTTAGCAGCCAGCAATCAGTTGGGTAACATCCAGATTGAGGCACACGCGACTTTACCTGTCCAACGGGCATCCTTTGCCTTGTAGAAGCAATAAGGTCCATGTCAATGTCGACTGTAGCAATTCCTGTTGCAAGGGGATCTGTAGCAGGCACAGGAGTGAGCAAAACAAACATCAAAGAAATCTGCCAAAAGCTAGGGTAGCAAAACGTACCAGAGCAACGAGCTGCCACCTTGCCCCATGGGTCCACCACAAGTGCATGACCATAACTGTCTCTTCGTTCATTATGCCGACCTGCTTGAGCTGCTGCAATGACCTGTCATGTGGAAGACCAGCTTGTCAGCTGAGTGCTATAACCAGTGATGGAACATTTAAGGCAGTGGAACACTCACATAACACTGGCATTCTATAGCACGTGCCCGCAACAAAATTTCCCAGTGAGCCTCCCCAGTCTTTTGCGTAAACGCAGCGGGGATCAGTAGTACCTGCCCAATCAGATGCACTGCAGATGATCAAACCAGTGCATCTACCATCACTCAAGCATGAACAAATTGCTCTTTACCTCTGCACTCACATCACAATCATGATCAAAGCGAAGACGTTGATAAAGCTCTGGGAAGCGTAGATCATAGCAAACGGTTAGACCCAGTTTGCCAACAGGAGACACTGCGGATACAACAGCTGATCCCGGCAATGTGCTGTTGCTCTCTTTCAGGACAGGCCCTCCAGGCACATCCACATCAAATCTGGTTCAGCAAGGAAAGAAGAAGTTAGGGCGATGTGCAAAGCACGGCTTCACAGGTGCAGCGAATGGGGATTGTTGGAAAGATTCAAGGTATCATTACAGGTGAATTTTTCTGTAAGCTGCTTGAATCTTCCCCGCATCATCCACCAGCACATGAGTATTGAAGAAACGCCTGCCTGCCTCGGGACCTCCTGCCTCCTGGAAGCCTCCCAAAGACAGCCATATGGAAAACTCTCTGCAAGCCAGAGCAAAGTAGCCAGATAAATGGCGCACGGGTAAGAGCAAGCATGGTGCCGTTACTATCTTCTGCTATTGCTTGCTTCTATTGCCATTGCCTAACGTAATATAACACACACCTTGCGAGTTGGCAGTACTTCTTCATGATAGGGCCATCCAATGGCTCAGCAACTGCCGCGGCTTCTCCGTCCCGTGCACCAATGATGGAGAAACACTCAGGCAGGCACAGGAGTGCTGCGCCAGCTGCAGCTGCTTGCTGATGTGGGGAAAGCGTTACAGCAGCCATAGAAGGAGGGCAGATAAAAAATATGCACGATGTATGGATGTTCATGATGAGCATATGGCGATCCCTCACATCGAGGTCCCAGTGCTCACCTCGACTAGCAATTTGCATGTAGCGTAGTTTTTCTCAACATCACCCACAGCTGTCATCTGCGCCACAGCCACTCTCCTGCTGCCAGCACGACCTCTGCTACCCCTGTCCCCTCGTTCTGCACACAGCTTCTGCTGAGCACCGGCCACTTGCTGCGGATTGTCACGACCTGCTCCAGCCCCTGGAAGCCTCGCTCGCTCCGCATCGCATTCATGAGCCACGCCTTCTGGAGCGCCCAGGGACGACTCGTCGACATTGGGAACAGCGGAGCCACCCGACGCCATGCGGGTGAGTTGATATGATGGGACAAATGCACGCGATCTTGGTACGACTCCAACGCCCAGCGTTGCGCGACGTAATGCAGCCTTCAGAGCGAGCGACCTAGCGAGAGTTGGTTTGATTTGGATCGCCTGCGTATTTGCATAGAAAAACATTAGGAAACGTCATGTGGTTGAGCAAGGCATGTAAGTAAGAGGCTTGCCGCCTCCCGACAGGCGGATACGCACCAGAGGCCACAGAGACATCACACCACCGAGAAAGGCGTACGATTTTGCAAGTGCGTGCTCCTGCGACTTCTATGGCCATGAAAGTCTAGCTGGAACTTCAGCTGAAGCTAGCGAAACTGGTTGGTTAAAAATTCTGTGCTGGTTTCAACACTGCAGTGTCATAAGATTTTTGGAAAGGAATGTTTCTAGGAGTCTTGGAGATGGAATGGAATCGGAAATTTGGTGGCTATTCCTAAAGCGATTGTGACATATCGAGGCAGATCCTCAACCTGCTGGCCAGTCCAAGGGGCAGCTGTGCCATGCCTTGACGTCACCTCACATAAGAAAAGCTAGTCACTGACGTGGCGTAGCTCGCTCACACGCATCAGACCTGACTTGTGTCCAGACCGGCATGCCGAAGCGGGGAGCTCGGCTCGGCTTTGTGAGCGTGAACCCGAATTTCCGTGGCTGCATCAGCTTCGCCTAAAACGTGCCACATCCATACCTAGGAGCCTGTTTGATTGGTTGTTTTCCACAGGTTGAGGATTCTAGCTTATCGGATTGGCTAAGTTTTTGCCGAAGCAGGACGCTCGGCCCCAAATTCGATTCGACGTTTGGTTCCAGCGAGACTGCGACAAAGGCTGGCTCACCCCAAACAGTGTCCCCTTTCCTGGGCATGGCTGCTTACTTTTGCCTAGGCGGGCAGCCATGATGAATCCGAAGTGCACCGAGCCCAGTCCCGTGCTTCCGAAGCTGATGGACCAAAACCTAGCCCAAACCAGGTTTTGGTCAGAGCCAGCAGCTCAAGCCACCGAAGTGTTTTGCTTTCGAGCTGAAGAGGGGAGGAGCTGGGGGGGAATCCTCCTAGACAATGGTCTGCTGCACAGACAACAAAGGCGGTTGCTGTCATTCTCCATCGTGAGGATGACACATGGCTTTCAGCCATGAAGCCCTCGTTTCCTCTTCCAAGCAGCCCTGAAGGCCTTCTTGCTCTGGTCAATGGTCAGTCTGATCTATTATGGACCAGGCACACCCTCCAACCAGAGTGTTCAGAACTGGCTAGGTTCCATGTTCCAAGAGTAGAGTGGAATTTATGAGATGATTCAGACAGACCATTATTGGAAGGTTGTCCAGCTTCAGTGCCAATGCTAGTTGAGAACTTGGTGATGCGTTCAAGTCATTTCGTATTCCAGGCTCCGCTACCGTTGAACCCATTTCGCCTGTTTTTTATTGTAGATATTCGATAAGATTGTCCGAAATGGTTAGACATGCTGCTCCTAGAGGCCTGGGAAGGCATTGTCATTGTTGTCGGCAAAAGAGACCAGCTGCTGAGCTGATTCCATGCGGAGCATCTCAAGGTGAAGGTGGAGCCAAACATGGCCCATGGTGCCATAGGTGCATCCTGACAAAGCTCCACAAGAACTTGTCGTTCATAGCAGCGGCGACTATGGCTGCTAAAAGGGGGACCTGGCGATGTCCACGGTAAATCAGCAACATTCAGACGAGCTCATCATCCATCAGAATCCGTTTGGCCTCCAGGGAATGGACCTTGTTTGTGAAACGATATTTTTGCTTCATGCTGTTTGGCATATTTCTCCTGAACTCTTCGTGGCAGATGCGACGATGTCTGTCCTTGCAACAAATGTGTACAGAGAAGAAGCAAGGACGGAAGGCAGAGACGAGGACAAAACCAGCTCAGGTATTTACCATCGGGTTTCCCGTTTCCATGCTGTGCCTTTCTTGTCCCGGTCAAGTGGTGTAACTGGGTATTTTCTGGCCCTATTTTGCAGGAATGAAGTCAACGAATTCGAGCCTGGGAAGGGGATTGAGGAGCTGCATATTAGTAACTTTTCGAATGTTGACGGGGACTGTACTCCTGGAGCATCCAACGCAGGAGTTACATCGAGTGGGTCATAGTGGCCGTCTGAGCGTCATTCCTTACCGTCAATTTCGCTGACTCCGATTTTATCGTATTTCTGCTGGCAGGTGCTCCTCAAGATGATGAAGCATATGAAGGCGCTCTCGGCTTGTGTGCTATTTTGAAAAAGGTTGTGCGTCGTGTGCAGCTTTGATACTCGCATATGAGCTACTTTCCGGTGCAATCGTCAAAGCTAACCTTTGGCGATGTCTTGTGTTCAGGATGACGAAAACTCGCTTTCCAATTCGCCATCGGAATCAAGTGACAACAGCAAGGTCCCACTACAGCACCAAGGTCCCACTACTTCCGAACAACCGAGACTCGCACCAGAGCAACCGGTGGCTTATTGTTTTGAAGAGAAAGATGAGCCATCATCACCTGCTGAGGTGCCATGGACCCCTAGGAAAAGCAGGTCTTCTTTCAAGCGCGATTCCGCAGCAGCTAGATTTAAAGACGCTCCTCAGAAACAGCATGCACAAGCTTCTCCTGGAAGAGGCGACTTGAAGGTATCATTTGTTCAGGGCTTTCTCTGTCAGTGCCAATTTCTCCTCAGGGTCTCAGTTTGGTTGTGCTTTTCTTGCAGGAAGTGGCCACAGCGGAACATCAAGTCGAAGAAAATTATGAGCTGTCGTTTAGGCACAAGCTGCCTCGATACTCTGTTGATGAAGAGCAACAACAGACTCTCTCGCAAGAGGGCGAGCTACCATTGCCTCTGATTCGTGGTTCCAGGAGCTTCACCTACCGTACACAGGATGGGAATATGGGTGGCCGTTCAAACATTGGGCACGATGATGTGCAGCCAAAGTTTGGACTGAGGTTTTCTGGGTCCTTCGACGCATTTCAGTATGCCACGGCCAAAGGTGTGAGCGAATCATCTGCTAGGGAGCGCTTCTTCTCTGTTGGAAGACTGCCGGATTCGTTGTCTCCTCGCTCAGCATCCGTTCCGCACACTCCGGTAAGGAGGAAGCTTTCCCGCAAAGGCATTCCATCAAGGGGCGATTCAGGCATTGAGTTCAGCCCGCTGATTGGGCCATCATCTCCGTGCAAGCCAGTCAGTCCATGCGTTCTTCCACAGACAGCAGCTGGACCTCCTGCAAATCGCCAACTCAGAATGCGCATCTCAGCTCCTGGTTTGGATTCTGATGAACGTTGCACAAGCGAAGTCTCCATTGAGAAGCTGGAGACACTTCGCCCTGGCTTCAGCAAGGAGGATGGTGCAACTTCGTCCTTCCAAAAACATGTACAAAGAAGATTTCCTGAAGACATGAAGGCATCATCAAGTCCTGGGACACCAAGCACTTTGAAAGCAGGGTCCGACAATCTCTCTGGCGGTCCTTCAACCAGCAGATCGGGTGCTTTGGGTAATCAGGAGAGGATACGGTCAGACAAGAAAGTTGCAGCTGCTGTCGCGGCAGCATTGAAGCTGTGTGTGCCTGAGATTGCTGGGTCAGGAGTCTCGTCCAGCTATAAGGCATCTAGCTCGTCTAGTGATTGTTCTGAAGGAGTGGGCTGCCAGGAGGATTCTGGTACAGAGGAGTCCCCACCTGGTGCAGGGAAGCAGAAAGGCAGTGCGACCTCCGATCCCACACTTCGTCGTCACATGAAGTGTACATATGGAACAGCTGTAAGGAAACAGCAACACCCCGGTATTTCTCCGTACGACCTTGTTCAAGAGGGATTTTCTAATGACCCCTGGAAGCTTCTGGTCGCGTCTATGCTCCTGGAGGAGCATCCTTCCCATATGGTATGTTCTGCATTCGCTTGCTTCCGTTTGGTCAATGCCATAGCCACTCACGGGTGTACTGGTACCTTTTTCTGGCAGGTGCGACATGGAATTGTGAGGTTGTTTCAAAATCTCCCCTCAGCAGATGACGTCATATCATCTGACATGCAAAAGCTGGGAGAAATCGTTTCTAGTGCAGGATTCCACAAAAAATGGGCCAAGGACTTGCTTCGCTTCTCGCGAGAATTCTCTTGTGGAAACTGGGTTCAAGTATCTGACCTCCCGGGAGTTGGCAGGTATGTAACATGCTGTTTGGCTTCTTGGAGTTTGATCTTGAGTCGAGCTGTCTGACACTGCTCCTCCCTCCCTCCCACCAGGTATGCCACAGACTCGTATGCAATCTTCTGTGAAGGTCGGCTTCAGTCAGTTCATCCAACAGACAGCCTTCTGCAAAGGTATAAGGGGTGGGCACTGTCACGTACATAATGTATTATAAATCTCGAATTCTTGTATAAATCTCAGCAGAGCAGCATGTTCATAGCGTTGTGCCCGCTTGCTAGTTTGTGTTCATATTGTAGAGCTTGTAACTAGTACATTATTCTGTCGATACCATTGCTACGTCAGAGCTTTCATCACAGCAATTGAGGTGGAATGGAACGACATCAAAGAGTACGACCGTCAGCATCTATTCAGGGGTATCCCAGCTATGGCAGACAAGCACTTGCAGAAAGCGACACATACGGAGAAGAGCATCTCGCAGAAGCACGAGATAAACTTGAGAAGATTGTTCCATTATAACCAGAAATAAAGACAGGGAAATCGTACTCAATTTACAGCAATCTAGTCCGAATAGATGCGGCACTCGTCAGCGTCAGGGTTTTCGTCGCAGTACGCCTCAAGGGGGTCGGCCGACTTGGCGGCCTCCTTGTGCGAAATAGCGGCGGAGATTTCCTCAACCTCGTCCCAGGCCACAGCACACTCCGCAGCTCCAGAGTTGGGGTCTGCGCAGACGTTCTTGGCCTCCGCAATCTTCTGCTCAACGACCTTGTCCAGCTCCGGTTGCGAGCTAGCGAACACCTTCAACGACCGGGCGGGAGCAGCGCGCACGGTCACAGCGCTCTTTACGGACTGAGAGAAGGCGGCTGACCGCCTCAGGCCGCAAGGGGCCGTGGGAGCAACAACGAAGGCGAGGGAGGCCATGGTGAGAGACTAGACAAGACGAAGTGAGGAAACGGATGGTAGCTTCTGTGCTGCGTGTAAATCCGAAGCAGTCAGAAGCTGATGAAAGGCAGAAGCAGCCTCAATCGTGATGGGAGCTGGGAGTATCAGTGAACGAGTGGTGGAAGGGTTGGAGGTGGATGGGGAGAATGGGAAGGGAGTGAACGCGCATCTGAGGACGTGGAGAGGTTCACGGAAGATGGGACCAATGACGTGGAGTATAGGTGCCACATGGACTAGTCTGGCAGGAAAGCTTACTTGGCGAGCCCACCACCTGACATGCAATATCAGCCTGCTGCACTTCGGACCATCCAACCGGAGTTACCCCGAGCCTTGATCCCTGCCATCCGCCTCCCAGATCGTCAGGGCGCGTATAAAGTGAAACCGAGAGTGACGTCCCGGGACGTCAGCGACGGCTTATTGTGGTTACCATATGTAACAGCTTCTGCAGACGTTCTGTCAATGTTCAGCAGAAAATAGGACGCATCCGAGCTGACGTCCCAGTACATTTTGCGCTGCCCAAAGCTATGCGCGTGGGCAGGAGACGATAAAACAAAGCCAAACATGCAGTGAAAGCAGGAACCAGCTCGCGAGCCAGCAATTTTCGCGAGTGGAGTGCCAGGACATCAAATGCGTTGTGGAATCCCTCACGTTTTTCACACGTTACAGAAGTTTTTTGTTGCAATCATTTTTTGTCACGTGACGCTTGGTTTCGGAACCCTTAAAAAAAGTTTCTGGCGGGTTTCGCATTTCGTCATTGTTCAATGTGCTTGTGTAGCCCTCGGAATAAGCGAATTTGACGTCGCGCGGACGTCGCCGAGTGACGTCAAAATAGCTTATCGGGGCATCGCCCGTTTGCATTATCCACGCCCTTAGGGGGACATTTGCATCCTGACCCTGTACACTGAAGCACTCTGCGAGAAACAGTGTAGCCTGCAACTACGAATATGATATGTAAAAAAACATTGTTCTTAATTATATTCGTGTACGATGAGTTCTAGTACGAAGTTTGCGTGAAACATTTATGCCGAAACAAAATTGATCTTTTAGAAATAGGAAAATTGACCGCTGAAATGGCTCGTTTGCAATGGGTCTGATTTCCTCGTCACGGTGACGCTCTCCCACAAATTATCTCCAGCAGATTCTGCTTCCTTCCCTCTTGGTTTCGTTGCTTTCCGCCCTTTCCGCTGTCCAAGTTTGATTCTTCGTCATGAGCTAGGCATCGCGTTACACGCCTACTCCAACCCGAGCTTAGATCCGACGCATGTTTCAGGGTGTGCATGCGTTTTTCGTGGAGGGGGGAGTGCACAGGGCCCGGATCCAGGTGAGGCATCTGTGTGAGATAGTTCCGTGCAGTCTGCGCCGGATACGTCGTATCTGAGCGCAGGTGCAAGTAGGGCCGAGAAGATAGGATTTAGGCTTCTCGGCCGTACTTTGAGGAAAGGCGCGGGTTGAGGTGATACTTTGAGGCAGGCTTCGTCCATCATGACTCTTTCACCATACCCCTCCTAGCATCATGAATCTTTCACCATACCCCCTTCTAGCGCAATGAATCCTTCACCGTACCTCTGCTGGCATCTTAGATTCATGTCTCAGCCCCTCTAGCATCGTGAATCCTTCACCACACCCCTTCTAGATCATGCTCCTCCCCACTTCCACTCCTGAGGATTCACTGACTTGGTACATTCATCCTCGTTTTGAGGCGCCTCAAAACTACACTTCCACTCCTGAGGATTCACTGACTTGGTACATTCATCCTCGTTTTGAGGTGCCTCAAAACTACACTTCCACTCCTGAGGATTCACTGACTTGGTACATTCATCCTCGTTTTGAGGCGCCTCAAAACTACACTTCCACTCCTGAGGATTCACTGACTTGGTACATTCATCCTCGTTTTGAGGCGCCTCAAAACTACACTTCCACTCCTGAGGATTGACTGACTTGGTACATTCATCCTCGTTTTGAGGCGCCTCAAAACTACACTTCCACTCCTGAGGATTGACTGACTTGGTACATTCATCCTCGTTTTGAGGCGCCTCAAAACTACACTTCCACTCCTGAGGATTCACTGACTTGGAACATTCATCCTCTCGCCATTCCCCGTTCCGTCTCTCCCTTCTGCACATCTGACTCCAACCTCTGCTCTCTCACATCTCCCTGTCTCATCCGTCCGTCAGGTGTGGAAGCGGAAAGTCGCGCAGCTAGGGGGGGAGGTAGCAGCAAGCCCCACAGCGGCACGTGTCACCCACGTGCTGGCTGCGGATTGGCGGCGAGTGCAGCAAGTCACGACGTGGCAAGCCCCTCTTCCTGGGGTAAGTGATTGCGTCGCTGTTTTCTCCCAATCTGATCTCTTTTTTCCCAATCTTCCAATCTTTCAAAATATTGAAAGGTATTTCGGTATTTTGTCAGAGCTTTGTTCCATTCTCGCCCCCCATGTCCTTCTCCCCTGTAATCTGTCCCCAGGTTACAGCTGTTGAGTTCGCTTGGATTGAAAACTCCCTCAAGCATGGGTCACGGCTGCCCGAAACAAAGTTTCTTCTCTGCCCGAGCAGTGCACGGTTACAAAAGGGTGAAACGACACGCACCTCTCAAATTAGTGCGTCAGCTACTGGTTCTGGTGATGCTGGAGATCTCACAAGATCCCCGGAGAGAATCAGAAATGGACACGTGGTCACTGCTGTTGACAGCACAGGCATAGAGGATAGAAAAGGAAAGAGAGGTGGACAGGAAAATGGAAGGAAGGAGGAGGGTAAGGATGAAGAGAACTCTGAGTTCACTTGGAAGTCGCTTGGGGGAAAGGTGGGAGGGGAGGAGGTGGAGAGTGATGAGGAGGGGGGAGGCGAGGCAACGGCTGGTTCTGCTGCACAGGCTGGGCGGCAGGATTTGGAGCTATCTGAGGAGGAGAAAGCGTTTTGGATGGAGGTGATATTCGAGAGTGCAGCATGGGGGGCAGTAGAGGGGGAGGAGGAGGGGGGGGGGCGTGGGAAGGAGCGCAGGGGAGGGTATGGGGGTAAGCGGGGATGGGGAGGAGGGAGGGGAGGAGGAGGGGGAGGGGGGAAGCGGCGGTATGTGAGCGGGACGGACCGATTTGGGGCGGAATGGAAGCGATGGAAGGCGGGGGGGAAGGAGGTTGAGGATATCGATGGGGTGGGTGGCGTGGGGTTATCTGGGCGGGTGGTACGGCTGGTGAGGGAGGGGGAGGAGGTGCTGGGCCACACTCGGGGGCTGTGTGTGACACGGGAAGGCGAGAGGGGGGTTGACGCACAGGGAGGGAGTGCGGTTGAGAGGGACGGGGAGTCCAGTGAAAGGGACCAGGGTGAGAGGGCAGGCAGGGAGGAAAGGGAGAAGGGGAGCAGCAGGGATGAGGAGGGGGAGGGGAGAGGCAATAGGGCGGATTCGCAGTGGTCAGTTGGGTCTCAGCTCCCAAGTGCGGACTCACAACAGGCAGACTCACAGGCTGGTGCATGCGGTTATGTAGACGCCTACTCTCAGCCCCAGCAAGAGGGGTCGCAGCAGCAGTGGCAGTCACAGTCACAGAGCCAGCAGAGGGATCTGAAGCAGCATCACGAGCTTCCCAGCCTACAGGCTCTCTCGCAAGAGCCAGCAGCGTCAACTGTGTCAGCAGCACCACCATCAGCAGCTGACCCCGCACCAGCAGCATCAGTAGAACCTGCACCAGTGGCACCGCCCCCCGCAGCACCGCCTTCAGTAGGGTCAGCAGTGCGCTCAGCAGGAGGGGCGGCTGGGTGGGAGCGGTTGAGAGGGCGCGGGTGCTTCTGCCGGGGGCTGTACCTACCTCCCAACCTCAATGCGCGCATCTGCCAGCAGCTGACCGAGCTGAAGAACATCTACAAGGATGGTAGGGCGGGGTGGGGCGTGGTGTGGTGTGCTGGGGTGGGTTGGGGTGGAGTGGGGTGTGAGGGGTATGGCTGTGCCTCTGCCGGGGGCTGTACCGGCCGCCTGGCTTGAATGCTTCCATCTGCCAGCAGCTGACCGAGCTGAAGAACATCTACAAGGATGGTAGGGCGGGGTGTAGTGTGCTATGTATGCTATGATGTGTTTGTTGAATGTGCATCCACCAGCATTCGCCCTACCATGTTAATTCATCCCCCCAACCCGCCCCCACTTTCCTGCTAACCCCTCCTTTCCTCGGCCGTCTGGGCGACGAGTGGCGGTGCTTCAGCTGCTGCAAGGCGCTCAGCGCGCTCGAGAAGCTGCTCTTCCATCCCGTTTCCTTCTCCCCTCTTCCCCCCCCCCCCTCCCCTCCTCTCCCCTTTCCCCTTCACCCCTTCCAAGGTCTGGGCGACGAGTGGCGGTGGTTCAGCTACTACAAGGCGCTCAGCGTGCTCGAGAAGCTGCCCTTCCGCATCCGCTCGGCCCAGCAGGTCCACGGGCTGCCCAGCATCGGGAGCTCGCTGCAGGGCAAGGTGCGTGCTGGGGTAGACAGGTGTGGGTGGGCATGGGCATGCTAGGTTTCTAAGGCATTCTAGCATTGGGCCCTTCCGCATCCACCCAGCCCAGCAGGTCCACGGGCTGCAAGCATGGGTGCCTCACTGCAGGGGAAGGTGTAGAGGGGGGAAGGTGGATTGGCAGGTGAGGGGAGAGGGGAGGCGAGGAGAGGGAGAGCAAGGGTAGGGCCCAGGGCGGCCGGCCTTTGAGATTGGGATGGGGTCCACGGGCTGCCCAGCATTGGGGCGTCGCTGCAGGGCAAGGTGTGGTGCGGTGGGGGTGTATTGAGACGGGTGGGGTCAGACAGCAGGGGGTTTTCTGAGGCATTTCTACCATTCCGCATCCGCTCGGCCCAGCAGGCCCACAGGAGCATTGGGAGCTCGCTGCAGGGGAAGGTGCGGCGAGGGTAGGTAGAGGGGTGATGGTAGATTGGCAGGTAGGGGAGTGGGGACGCGGGGGGAGGGAGAGCAAGGGTAGGGCCCAGGGCTGCCGGGCTTTAAGATTGGGATGGGGTCGAAAGTTGCTTCCTCACTTGAAGAGCTGAGCGCTGGGGATTGAGATGGCTGGGTCGCGCGACCTGCCTGTTTGGTTGTGGTGGTGGTTGACCAATCCCGACCTCTCAGTCGCTACAGAGGTGCTATGTTGCATTGTCACTGCATGCGTGCATGTATGGTGATGGGTATGTCCGTGCATG